AAAAAAAAAAAAAAAAAAAAAATTCAAACCTATTTTTTTCCCTCTGAGGCTTTTGGTGTTTATTCTGGATCTCATACTGTGGAGAAATCAGTAAGCTCTAAAGATTCCAATGTAGCTTATCTGAGAAGTTCTGAGCCAGTCCATAATTGCTTCATCTCATGTCTGTCCCACTTTTTCAGCAAAGCCCAGGGCAAGCTGCCAATATCCACATGGTAAGGGAGCATCATCCCTCCGTTAAATCAGGCTTTCCATCACAAAAGTTTTATCTGTTTCATCTCCAGCTAACTGTGTTTCTGGATTTAGTTGCTAAAGTTGTCTCACTTATGAAGTCGCAATATTCGGCCTGAAAGCATTTCTACTGCCCTTGTGGTTATTGCCAATGGCTGATGTGTTTCCATTGGAAAGTAAATTTAACCCTTTGCACTCAGAGAAATCTCACAGATCACCTACCAGCAACTCGACCAAACTTTACAAAATAGTGAAAATGATTCACTTAAATAGTACAGCGTTAGAACCAATTACTTTATTGTAATGATATTTGGTTTATAATGGAATTTTGGACATTGAGGAACTTATTTATGACCAAAATTTTAAAAATCAAAATTTTATATCTTACATTTTAACATATGGTAATGTGTGAAACAGTCACCAACAGGCACTGCAGGTTCATTGATACATGTTGTACAATAGTAATTTGTTTGACGTCTTTCACCTGGTGTTTTTTTATTAGAGCAGACAATGCAGTCTCCTTTTCTTCCTCCCACATTAATAGTACGTAATTTGTTGTCACTCTGTTGTTCAGAGATGTGGAAGAATGCACTCATGATTCCTAAAAATGACTTATCAACTGATCAATCATATCTAGATACATATTCCATCTCTTTGCTTTTTTTGCACAATTTGAATGAAAAACTTCAGGGAAACATACGTTTTTGAAAAATTTATGCTTGTGTAAGTTTGTCCTGTATAATCACTAGCAAACTCTTTATGTCCCCTCAGAGGGGACATCTAAGTGGTTTGCTAGATTTATGATGTCCTCTCAGAGGGGACATCTGAGTACAAAGGGTTAAATAATTTGTGGGATGTGATGTACTGTGTGCTGACTGCTTCAGTATAATCACTGTCATTTCATTCAGGTCTGAATTAAAGCTAAATTAATCACAGTATTCAGCTTAAGCTGCTTTAATGCTGATGAAAGGCATCTGTAGTTCATATAAACCATATTTATGTGAAGGTTAGCAAATATTTCTTCATATAAATTATCACTTTGATATACATGTCTTAGAGTCTGTGAGAAAAGAGAAAGAACAATATATCAGTTTTGCTACATTTTAATAGATGTTTTTTAAGGGATTTTTTCAGGTCTCATCAGCAACATCAAACAAAAAGGACTGAGTACTCCACAGGGTACAGAGTGCTGCCAAGCACCTTAGAAAATTTACATGACACAAAGAAAATGCAGTTCTTGCCCCTTGAGGAGCTTACAGTCTGGGGGTTTGATAACTCATAGTCTTAAGAGTTGAGTGAACAACAAAGTAATTTGTTAAGGCAAATCCTTCACCTCTAGAGCTATTGTGGACTGAATCATTTTAAAATTTGGAATTAATCCAATAAAGATGAGACGACTAAATTTTGTTGAGAATTTTTTTAGGCTCATATAGTTTTTATTAATATCCATCTAGTAAACAGAATTGACCTAATAGACAACTGAAAGTAAAGACTAGATCTCTTGAAGTGCAAGGGCTAAAACAACTTAATTGTGGTTACTTATTTAAAAAGCAAACATCCTGAATAGTATGACGGGTTATTACACTAGTTTAAAAATACACCAGGTACTGACACTGCATTCCCTTCATGCACTGCTCATTTAAAATAGTGAATATTAAAATATGTGGCTTCTACATCTCACCCACAGAAAGCCCACCACAAATCAATGTTCTGTGTATCAAATATCCACCTCATATGTATTATGAAAGTTTTATTTATGCCACATTAAAAGTAATGTAAATACTCAAATTATCATAAGCTAATGACCTGCATATTTTATATGGATGAATGTCAATATATCTAAATAAGAAATAAGTGGCAATTCTATCTACCTATATAAAAAAAATAGAATATCTTTCCAAATTTTGCATACTCATCACTATAAGAAGAGGTATGCAGGTTTTAAGGTTTCACAATCAGTTGTCAGAAAAACAGCAGTTATGCCTGCAGTATCTCGTTAGCATCTGACTCAATTATTTTTAGATGACATGATTTAGAAGACACTGTAAACCCATCTAAAAATTTTTAATTATTTTGAGATGGTTCCAACGTTAACCCGAGAATCATTATCAGAAAGAGTAACAATGTGATGTAGAAGAACAGCTAATCAACATGACTAAAAATAAGCTCACTTTCAGAAGAACAATCGTGTCATCTGGAAAAAAATCATAGCTACAACCTGGGGAACATTCCCATATGGAATACCGATCTGGCCAAGGCACACTTTCTAAGCAGGAAAACTATCAGATCAGGGTGAACTGAAGCCACTTCTGAGGAGTAATCTATAAATATCCAGACAGACCTTCAGAGGCCCAACATAATTGGTTCAATTCCTCTCAAAACAGTTGGATACTATCCTACCCACATCAACCCAAAGCTTGAAGTTAACTCAAACCAAAAGAGCATATGAGAGCAAAAGTGAACAAATGTGTAAACTCTAGCACATTCTTATTGCTGTATTAAGTTTGAAGATGAGCACATCCTACCCACAACAGTATTGTTCCAGGAAGCAGGGTAGGAGTAGTGGTAAATTACAAAACAGACTATTAATTGCACAATTAATAGAAAAGTAAAAACATATTTTGAAATCTACAATAAACCTGTATCCAAAGGAGTCTTATACATCAGTGATGTGCTGGACTTTGAATTCTGTGGTACAGCTTTGCAGTGGACTCACTCTGGCCTACTGGTATGGGTACAGCTTGCTTCCTGCCTGTTGAAGGGTGAATATGCTACACAGAGCTATGATGGTTTCTACCGAGTGGTAAAATTCACAGATGTTCCAGGTTAATCATGTCAGGATCATTCCTTGTGCAATGTTTGATGTAGATGAAGATAAAGTGGTTTCTTGGTCAATAATTGTAATTTCTTTCTTTTAAAGTCAGTGGGTTTCTTGTATCTGTAACCACAATAGAAAGACCATTGTTTAAAATACTTTGATGATTGATCTATTCCAAGGTTACATACTGGATAAGGGAGGTTAAGAGGAAAGATACACTAGTCACCATTAAATTAGTACTAATTCTATATGCACATCACTTACAGTTCTATTACAATTGACCCAGGTTTAATTTCATCCATCTCCATGAAAGCAAAACACTTGGTGCTGGTAAACCTTTTTTTAGGCTTGTAGTGTTTGAATTCAAAGAAGATAGCTGCACCTAAAGAATTAAAACAAAACAAACCACATAAACCACAGTCAGAGTATTTCTTGTGTGTCAATTAGTTTTCTTTGATCACCAGAATTATAGGAACAGCAACAGTTAGCATAGTTTTAAAAGCAACCTGTGGCAAACATAAGTCTCTGATGATATGATGATTTATAATTTACTGTGCTTGTCACCCCAAACATTTTGTATCTGAGTAGAGTGACATTTTTGCTTACCCAATTCTACAAACTATAGCAAAACTTCTTGAACTAGATTGCCTCAAGATCTATATAATTTATGTACACAGGTAGAATCATAAAACACTAAGGGATATAACATCTTAAATGCCACAAGAAAACAGAAGATACTTGTTAAGTATTATCAAAACTCACAGAAACTCATTAAGTAGAAAAGGCACTTAAGAGTTATAAAAAAAAAAAAAAAAATTCAAGCTCGAATCATTTCTCTCTTCCCCTGAAACAAAAACTCAAAAATTCAGTTTCGGTGGTGTTTTGGAATTCAAATTACATAAACCACATGCAGGCTCAGTTATAAAATATTATCTATTTCCCAATACCTTTTTCAGAAAGTTTTCAAAGCACTGTTTGGGGTTGTCCTTTGTCTGTTTTTTTCCCCTGGAATTATATATGTCTGTATAAAGATGGTGTTATGGGAGATAAAGATCCAAAGCCTATTTATTCCACCTTCTTCCTCCAATGAGCAAGTTATAAGGAAAAATTTAGACAGTTCTACGTCCCCAAAGTCCAACAGATAAGCCCTCCTCCATCCCTGCAGAAAAAAAGCTAAAAATAGAGAAATAATATGGCCAAGAATGATTTCTAAAGAAAGCATGGAAACTGATGGAAGGAAGTTGGAATCTCACTCTTACCTGGCTACTTGTTAATATTGCCTTAACCAGAGTGGTGCTGGGTCTTGGCTTTTAAAGACAACACATTTTAATACCTTCACTGATAACAAAACTCACAAGTGACTAGAAGTTTAACAGTATTCAGAAATGTGTGTGCAGCCCTGGCACCTGGGTCCAAATGGAGCACCTCACATGGCAAGGGAGGAAAGACAATTGTTCAGGAGACAATGGGATGTGGATTGGGGAGATGGGTAGATTGAGCCGCCCACTTCTAATATATACAAAGGGATCAACACATACAAAGGGCTAGCTCAGTGCTGGTGACTTCTCTTCCTTAGGTGTGTGACCCTGCCATATCCAGAAATAGTAGCTTCGCTTCTCACAGCCATAGAGTCATTTTATCATTTAAAAACATCAGATATTTTTTAAATGGGCCATATTTCTTAGTGCCTTCAGCTGGGAGACCTATTTCCTCATCCTGACTGTGTCTAAGGTCTGAATAAATGTGAAAATGAAGTCATTTTTGAAAAAATGCTGAAGTTCAAATATGTTACCATCATTTTCAAGAAGTTGAAAAAATTCATTCACCTAAATGACCAGAAGATAATATATTTTCTACATCATCATGCTACTTATAAGAAAGAACAAAATGTGAAATGAGACTATCTGAGGAAGATTAATTTAAAATGCTTGTAAACATGATAGTATGTTCAGTAGCAGTAATATCAGTTAAATAATAAGCTTAAAGCTGGAGAAAATAAATAGGGTCAAATTCTGAATATAGTTCCATTTTCACCATCTCATAAGTCAAGTCGTTAAGAAAGAACACGGTATAATAAAATAGAAAAGTTGGCCCATGAAACACTCTACCTTCTCCCCTCCCCATCAGAAACATGTCTCAAAGCAATGGAGTTAAAGAAATGAAAAAATTTATATTTTTGTTCAGAAGGCGTATTTCATACTGAAATTTCTTCAACATTACTTATGAAGCACCTCCTACCTACATATCCTAACACAGGACTTAAGCTTTGATGTATATCAGATCACCCAGAGGGCTTCCTAAGACACAGACCAGTCCCCACAGTTTCTCAGGAGGTCTGAGACGGGGCCTCAAGCATGTGCACCTAATAAGGTTCCAGGTGATGCTGCTGCCACTGCTGCTGTTCCAGGGGTCACACTCTGAGAACCACTGTTCTAACAGAAGCACTGAAAGGTAAGTCTTTTAGTGGCAGAACAGAGGAGACAGAGGAGACAGCAGCATCAGTTTTAAGAAATATCAAATATTTTACAGACTGAGGCAATCATGTCAAAAGGCACTGTACATCTTATACAAGCTTGAAAATTTTAGAAACAAACTCACGTGATAAAAAAATTCTGAAGTCTTTTTGGAGATCATTGACATTCCCATTGGGGAACAGGCATGGGAACTATCTAACTTAGAAATGCAACCTCACCATTTCAAAAATTTTGCTTTTGTCCTTTCCAATCTTCTTGCTAACTAACTGCAAGTTATAGTATCTTCCTTCCCAACACATTAAACTGGAAGAAAAACTAGATCTTCAACTGTTAGACTAAATCATTAGGGAGCCTTAGAGAGCTCCTGCCACCTCCAAACTTTTAGTATAAAAACAAAAAAACAAAACAAAACAAGCCTTTGTTTTATTGTTAACAACAGTAACATTTTATTATCAAAGATGTTTATTATGTTATTAGAAAACAAGATAGCATAATTCCTAATTCCCACATTTTAAAAATGTATATTTTATTCAAATCAATAAACATTATGTGACATTACTTCTGCCGGATACCAATTGTGCTAGCCCCGCTATGCATACAAACACGTAAGATGAGGACTCTCTCCTTAAGAAGTCAATTATTTCTGATTACAAACCTTTGGTTAATTTTTCAACATGCTTCTGGAGTTCGATATCCACATTAAAATGAACATATGTATCTTCTTTTCTTGAAGCCACAGGAGTATCTTGCACAGGAGTTAAATCTATGCCATTCAGATCTAAAGAGAAAAAAATAGATTTTGGTTTAGGAGCATGCAAGTATACAGACTCCAAAACTGCAAAGTACAAAGGGTTATATTTCCCAAGAAGCTTGGAAAAAGCCTAGAGGAGATTCTCCAGCTAACAGAAATTCCCATTTGGCATGAGCAGGTACCTGAAGAGCTGCCGGTATCCATAGAGCTACATGGAGGAAGCTGGGTAGAGAGGGAATGGGAGACCACATGGAGGGAAGAAGGAAGTGTGCCACAACCAGGTATAAAAGAAAGCTTGTTGAAGACAAAATTTGATTGCTACAGTGAAGAGATGAAAATAACTTTTTGTTTTCCTTAGGGAATAGGCCACTAAATTTTTGTCTGCAATAAAAATTTAGAATGTAAATAATAAATCACAATGGGAATCCTGGCCCTAATTTCCTTGAACGTTATCAGAATCCCCCTGTTGTACTCAAGTCAGAGGACCAAAACTAGACATGAGAGCAGCCAATGAAACCCTTCCATCAATGAACAGATTTTTATATATAATCTGAATTCTCATCACATTTGCTATAACATAACCTGATCTATGTCAACCAGATGGAACACTAAGTTACTGTGTATAGTTTTAATTTCCTGGACCCAGGAATCTTTTTAATCAAATTTGTCAACATGGAGTCATTTAATAACTACTCAGTGTTTAAGTATTATTCGACAGACCTGTCTTAAGGAACTTAAAAAAACTTGGTATATTTGATTTGTCTCAAATTGTAGCTAAAAGTATATTACTTGGATTAACTGTGCAGTTGTTTCTGGGTTAAGAATATGATAAATTCATTCTCAACCCCCCAATAATTATTGTTAAAAGACTGTTAAGTGCTTTGCAAATAGAGTACTGTATAAAAAATTTGGCAAGAATAAGGAAATTCAACCACTGTGGTTTCCCTCCTAAAGACTAAAAAAGTTGTTTTTAAGTAATAAGCGGACTGCCACATTGGATAAGAGAAAAAAACAAATTCAAAGAATAATCATGTTTCATAACCACAATAGCATAGTTCAAGATAAGAAATACCTCTCTTTTTAATGTCCCACAAGATTACATTCGGGGCATGAGTGCTATGCATGTGTCCCATTTCCCTGCCTTCACTGATGATTCACTGAAGGACTGATTTTCATCCACCTCTGGAGGCCTCTCCTATGTAGAAACTTTTCTTGGACAGGAAGGAGAAGGCCTAATGCAGGAGGATTGGGAAAATAGAACGTCATGCTTTGCAAGGAAAACTACATACCCTTGGAAGGTGAAGGACATTTTAACTTGTATCCTAAAGAATGCACCTGCTATTAAAGACAATGTGTGTCTAGCCAGCACCCTAGATGGAATTTTAAGAATAAAGACATTTCAAAGAAAAATTCAAAGCAAAAGTGAGGGTGAGTTATGAACAGGAAGATACTTTTAGTAAATCTCTCAGAAGTGTTCGGTGAAAGAGTAATGATCTCATCTAGGGATTTTACCTCATTGTAGAGTGAATTAAAATAAGGAGTTGTCACAGATACAAGTCCCTCCCCACCCCACCCTGCCAAAAAAAAATTCACTAGGGAAAAAAAAATAGCCAAGTTATTTACCCTTTACACTAACTGTAATATAGGGATCGATGCACTGCCCAGCATCTTTCAAACCAATTTTCTCAATTCTGATAGTGAGTAACGTCATTCCTGGTTCTGATGGCAATCTTGGTAATAAAGTGCCTGGCAACAGAGAAAAAGCAATAAAAGTTAGCCCCACCAGTAATTTCAGAGTAAATATTTGAACAAACATAGAGATTAACCTTGCTCTTAGCTGACTTAGAAACTAGCCAGGCATTGTTTTGGTTTCCACAACTCCCAAACACTTGATGTTATTATTTTCAAATGTCTAATTATACACAAAATAAATCTGCACTTCTATATCTCACATTTAGCACTAAAGCAGAAATAATTAATTAAAGCTAGTTAAAAATTCAAGTCACTTCAGGAAGCCCATACATGTAATAATATATAAAATATATACATATTTTGTATATACTCATATATAATATACTGTAAATCTAAATATGGAGTGGTAGAACAAAGACAGGAAAAACCTTTTAAACATTTGTTATATTTATCCTAACGCTTGAGAAATGTTCTACGAGAACAATCAACAAGTCCTTTAATTACTACTGACAGAGGAAATAACTTACAATTAATATTTATGTACTTAATTGAACAATTTTACAGTTTAATTCCCTACTCCTTGACTCATCAACATCAAGGCAAAAACAAAAAACCTGTTGGAACTGCAGTGAAGTTCAGATCAATCCCAAAGAGATATATCTTTGCAAATTGCTTCCTCCCCTCTATTAACTGGTTTATGTCTCTCAATTTTGTAAAGGCTTCTTAATTTCAGTAAAGTTTTATTGTTTTCTTCACACAAGTCTTATACTTCTTTTGTTGGATTTATTATTAGATACTTGAATGATATTTCATTTTCTAAGCAACTGTTATTTATTTATAGAGATAGAAGCAAATTTTTTTGATCCCACAGCAGTATATAGAATAAATTCTTATGTATAAATTTTACACCCAGGAACTTATTATTAATAATGATTTATTTATGGGTTAATATATATGTGTATTTTGTGCTATATATGTATATTTATAACATCTGCAAATAAAGGTGTTTCCTCTCCTCTTTAATTGCTATATTATATTTCTTTTTCTTGACCTAGTACACTGTCTAGGACTTCTAAAACAATTTTGATGCAAAGAGTTAATAGTAGGCACTCTTGTTTTGTTCCTGATCTGAAGAAGAAACTCCCAATTTTACTATTAAATATGATTTAGGTTCTAACTGTCATATAGTTATTTCTATGAGACTAAGGATTTTCTGTTCTTGGTTTGCTAAGAAGTTTTTAAAATCATGAATGGATTTAGAATTTAATTTAAAAATTTTTTTGTATCTATTCAGAAGATCATGCAATTTTTCTCCTTAATCTGCTAATGTGAATTACCTTGATATATTTTGCAAATCTAACAATATACTCTGAAAAATCACTCAATAGTTCCTGGATATTTTTCTAATTACTTTCTGTAATATTCTGTGTATCATAGTTTACTCAGTCAATCTTTATATGACAGGTTGTTTCTAATATTGTACCACTATCAAAAATGCCTCAATAGAGAACCCAGGGTATATGCAAGTTTTTTTAGATTGCTGGAGGTGTATCTTCAGAAAAAATTCCTAGGAACAGGATTGCTAGGCTAAGGGAAAATGTTTATTTTTGTTGTTGAGACATTGCTGAATACTCCTTTGAAGGAACTATACCACCTTCTACTCCCACCAGTGATTAATGAGTACCTGTTTCCCCACAGCCTCAGCCACAGCAGTTTTAATTTGCATGTCTTTTATCATAAGTGAAGCTGAATATCTTTTTACATATTTAAGGGCTATCTGTATATCCTGGGGTCTTTTCATATATTTTTAAGGACTATTTTTATATCCTAGGTCATATGTGCATGCTGTGTGTGTACTGTCTGTTCGTGTCTTTTGCTCAATTTTTGAATATGTTTATGGTCTTTGTTGACACAACTTAAAATAGTCATCATATACTAAAGATGTTAGTCTTTTGTCTTTTTTACTTTGATTATGGTGGGTTTTGACAGTCAAAAGGGATTGCTTATCCAAATGTCAAAATCAATGAGAGAACATCTTTTTCTAATAGGCTATTTTCTCTCAAGTAAACATTGAAAATAACTTTAAAATAATTTAATAATTATTAAATTATTTTAATAATTTAATTAAAAATAATTTCTACCTTAAGGTGAATCAGTTTCATAACCTGTAATTTTCTAGATTTTTTAGTTGAAATGGGCTGATGTTTCTTTCCTACTTACCAACAAACTTTCTTGCCTGAGACTATAGTAAGATTTAATCTAACTACTAAGTATATTTCAATCAAAATGGAGATAGTGATTTCAAGCCGGAAAGATGCTTAATTTATTTAGTTCTTTTCTAATTCAAGGTAAAATGTAAAACATTTCACTCCATATGAATGTTCAGTTTTACCTTATTAAAGCTGAAGTTATCTAATTAAGACTACAGATTATAAAGAGGTGTCTATTCAAGGTATTTCACAGTGGTTTCCAATGAGCGCTCTCCTTGCATGGTCAACTCCCACACATCTTTTGAGTCTCAGATCTGGTTATACCACCTTTACTAAACTCCCTTAGCCTTTTTTTTTTTTTTGCTCACCCATAATACACTGTGCCTATCTCTAACCAAGAACATTGGTTGTGTCTTGCTGACTACATGGTAAGTATCATGAAAGATGGGTATGAATAATTGCTCATATTTGCACTTGTAATAAACACATCTTTGGTCTATTTGCACTCATAATAAATACATCTTTGGTGGATAAATATTTTGTTGCATGAATAAATAAACTTTACAGCTCTCCAGGTTATTATGTTCTAGTAAGCACATGGCTTGAAATACACATTAATGTACTGCTCCACAATATGCATGAAAGAAAATAAAATAGTAGGCTAATACCACACCATCTACAGCTCCTGAGAAAGTTAGCATGTTTGTATATCACAGATAAAACCATACAATAATTGGAAATGAAGGCAACACATTAAAATCAAGATTTCTAGATGAAGAATAAATATACTCAACTATGTAAAGTAATATGAGAATAAGTAACTATGTTTAAGTTACAGAATTTATACATGACTCAATATACACTACACATTTCCAACTAGATAATTTACCATTAGATCTAGAGCAAGGATCAGAAATAATAAATGTTCTTCCATGTGGAAAAGCTGTGCAAATAAGAAATACCTCGTCAACTTTTATTGAGCACTATGTGCAGGCACTGTCCTAATCCTGTACATGTATTAACTCATTTAATCCTCACAACAACCCTCTGACACAGGTGCTAATGTTAGTCCTATTTTTTTCAGAGGTGAAAAGTGAGACACAGAAAAGTTAACTTGCCATAATCACACAGCAGGTGGCCACCAGTGTCCATGCTTTTTACTACCACACCCCATTGTGTTCTATTTTTTAAATTTTAATTTTCTGCAGAGACTAAAAAGGAGCTGCAGGATAACCTCCCCATCTCAACTTCCTTCACATCTGTTATGTCCCTTCTGCCATGCAACATATTCACAGGTTCTAAGGATTAGGATGTGGGCGTGGGGGGGGGCATTATTTTTGCCCCCACACTTCTAAAAATGGAAAGCTCTGTCTATGACAGTCTAAAGCTCTATATGGCTAGCTAAATCAAGATTTCTCAGTCAGGGTTCTGTGGAGTCCCAGGGGTAGCCTTGAACTGCCACGTGGAGCTCCACACAAGACAGTGATTTCTATTAACGTGCTATTATAATATATGTAAAAGAAGATAAATTCAAGGATAATACCATTCCATTTACAGCTCTTGCATTAGGCTTTGTTCACTGAGCAATGCATGTTTCCAGTGATGGACAATGCAAGTAGCTCCTATTGCAATTTTATTATAGATCTTTGAACTCGTAAACAGTAAACAGTAAGATTAGTTGACTGATGGGGTCCATTTTCAGGCTTTTTTAAAAACATGAGATAGGGGAAGTCTTGGTAGCCAATGAGCTCTGTACTGCACAGAGGACAGCAGGCTGATGCCAGCCTCTTCCTCTGATTTACCTGCTCCAACCTCCCTCTATGCACCACTGACTGGAGCAAACATGCTCCACGGGTATCAAAGAAACTTGGAATGAATGAGCTAGGAGGAAAAGATTCTAAACCTAAGAAGCATAGAGACAATTATGACAAGGTAACAACAATAAATTTCAAGCTTCTAAGTCATTTTACTGCACTAGTGCAACACGGGACACAAAACAGTCTATTTAATGATGACAGCTACTTATTAATAGATTGTACTTGCATGTATAATTTTCAAGATGCATTGTCAACAGAAAACAAACTACAAATGCAACTATGGCTCCAACAAAATTAAATCACTTAACCACAAGTCACAGTCACTGACAAATAAAGGTGCTGATTATTTTGAGATTCAAAAGACATTTAAAATAAACAGAGCAAAGCTTTTTTGTTGTTGTTAAGTCATACTCAGTTAAACAGGCTCAGAAAGCAAATTACTTACTTTGTAGTAGAACTTAATGCCTAGAGAAACAAAAGTCAAACAGTGAGAGTAAGTTTTTAGGACAAGCATATTATTAAGAAATTTAAAAGACTCCACTCCCAAAGAGTACAATAAGTTGACCTACAGATGATATTCCACACGATGTAGAGCTTTTGTGATATACACTATAAACACAGCTTCTGTTCTGAGTCCACAGATTTCACTAAGAAGTATTATGCTATAGTGTAGCACTTGTAAGATTTTTAAATAATGATGAAATCAAGAAAAAATTTTCTGCTATAAAGTAAAGGCTCCAAGCAGGCAAAGACTAAGCTGGACTCTAAGTCATTTTACTGCACTACTCAGTCTTCTGTGTCTGAAGAACTGTACCGGCATTCACACTGATGGTGTCCACCAACAGCCGACTCCATGAGAGAATTTCCCCTTTCTTGTAAAAACAGAAAACCTTTACACTGTCACAACTCATGGCTTTCTTCACTAGGTGCTGGTGTCAAAACTCTTGTAGACAAAAGGAAAAAGAGGATCTAGAAGATATCACAAAAATGGCTAAGTTTGTTAAACCAAGAGCAGTTCGCTCAAAAATATTTTAAAAGCTACATAAAAAGTATCTGTCCTAGCAACAGGGCAGGCTCTCAGCTGAGTATGTTATAGCCACTGCCAACTCTGGGAGAAAGAAGGGACTATGTAAGCAAGTCCTCTGTCCATGCCAAGCATCTGAGTCCTCATGACTGCCACGGTGTCCAGCGATAAGTGTACCACTCTCTTTCCTGCAGCTGGTACAGAGAAAAGTAGAGAAGTATCTGAGGCCCCTCGTCCCTCACCTACAGTTCTCCATTCCAAGAGAAAGCTGTTTAAAATGAAGATACTAGCACAGAGTAGGATCGACTCAGATAAATAAATCTCTTGTATGTGGCCAAAGACACACAGGACAATAGAGATTATGGAGAACCAGACTACAAATGAACCTTCACCAGCCTAGGGACAAGGAGTTTAGGGTTACATGGAAGGAAACCAAAGTCAGTGAAATCCTCTAAGATGCTGTCTATGTGAGCATAGAGAAAAGGAATATTGCTATTTCTTTTTTCATCTTATTATTTCTGCTTTTTAAACAAACATTTGTATTGTTGATATCACATATCACAACAAAAGGAGACTTTCTTTCTTCTAGTCCAAAACAGGAAATGGCATGATAGTCTTCCTTCCAAAATAGTATACCATTGCAAATATCAGACTTTTAAAGAGGCTACGCTTTCTCAGAAAATTATTAAGTATTTTATCTTTTGAAAACACTGTGGTTTGAGTTTGCTTATTAAATCATTTTACTTGCTTGATTTGTTATATAATACTCTACAGATATCTGTCACAGGCATTAGTACTCTAATGAAAGGTGAGTCAGTTCTAATATTGCCTTGGTGATTCAAAAATTAAATGTCATGAATAAGGAGTAGTACATAAGCTTTTATCCATACTTTCAGGACAGCGTCCAATCAGGTGTCCAAAACGTAGACTAAGCATTTTCATACGTATGTGAAAATGTATATATTTTGCAGTTTTCATTGTTTTAGCTTTATCATACTTGTAATTAAATTAACATATGGTACTACTGATTCAGATTCTTTCTGCTATCCAAATATCTTTTAAGTGCACATTTATTCATGCTTCTAAAATGTAAAAATATATACCCACACACACACAATAATGCTTGGCATTATTAACACAATTAAAGATAATGTTATTGCTCAAATTGGCTACAATATTTGGTAGGTGGTAAATAGCAAGAAATTTGTCTTGAAAATCTGGTAATAGAAAATCTATGCAATTTGCATTGTACACAGAACATTATCGAGATAATATTTAATTGAATTAATAAACTCAATTTTGAAGTAGAAGCTGTGGTAACATATTAAAATACATATACAATTCTTTTAGCTTGCAAATAATTAGCAGTTGAGGAACATGGGTTCCCCTAAGCTTTCAAGAGAAAGAGTTTGAAATTATAAGAAGTTTGTTTATTTTTAAAATTATTTCAAAACTTTGAAAAAATCTTAGGGGTCATTATCATCTAAATAATATGGTATGTAGGTCTGTCAAGTTAAAATTTTATTTGATTTAAGTTGTTTATAAACATAGAGGTTATATGAGTATACTGACTCTTATTTTTGTTTTATTTTCTTTATTAACAGCTACTAGAAATTTAATACTTTTCCTTTTCGGTCTTTCTGTTATCAGATGTGTGTGTGCTCCGAACCATGGTTGACTTTTAAATGTCACTATACTACACTGAAAATAATAAACATACTCACAAAGGCTCAGCTGAGTCAATAGGCATGTGCTTCACATAAAGATGCTAGTTAAAAATTGGCACTCCATTAATTCCTACAGCAAGCAAGGAAGAGTTACCAATAGGTGTTTGAGTTGAAAGGTGAATTGCTAGAGTACTTTCAAAAAAGGGCATGCCAAATATTACTGAGTGCTTTGAAGATGAAGAAAAGCTACAAAACATGGCCTACTTAGCCGATATTTCACATGAACTAGTCTCTGCAAGGCTCTGGAGAAAATCTTTGATTTCAAGTGACAGAATTTTGGGATTTAACAGAAAAAAATTAAATTGTAAAAGGAAATCTTCAAAAACAGCTTGAGCTTGAAATTAAGGAAGAATATTAACAAGTCTCAAATCTAAGTCAGCTAGGAAAACTACAGAACAAAAACTGTATTTTCCTTCCCCTTCAGCATAAATAGTATATGCCTGAGTATATGCCTGACTCTTTTTCCCTGGTTCTCCTGCTCAGCTTGAGAACTTACGACCTTGAGAGAAGAGAAAGAACTCTGAGAATTGTGGTCTAACCATACACTTTAAATGATATTCACTGCTTGGTCCCTAAACATGTTCAGGATTTCTATGAAAGAAAATGCCTTTATATTAACAGGAAAGGTGAACATTTTGCTGCAGTTTTCAACTTCTTACATGTGTGAACAAGAAAATAAATTATTTCATTTCAGTTGAACATGAAATCCATGTTTACTTATCTCTCAAATTCAAGTGAGAATTGAGTATTTATGCGACAAAAAAATAAGTATAAGTTTGACTATTAAAGAGCTAAATTTCTTTGAATTTCAAAAATATGTTGTATACATCTGTAAGCCTAGGTAAGAGATGAAGAAACAATACATATATAGTAATGTTGAAAGTACTAGGCTTATATTTGAGCTTCATAATGTCAACTAGTTAAAAAAAAAAAAGTTTTTAAAGGTCTTGAATAAAATTGTGTCTTGCTATTTTTTAACTTACATTGCTATGGTTTATCATTTTAGTAGCTTTACTATTTAATACAATCAATACTATGAGGTTATAAAAAATAAGTTGTAAATTTATACCCCCTATTTAAATGAAATCAACCAAGACTACCTTTAGAAAAGTTAACTCCCACTTTTGGCTAAGTCAATTATATAACAGAAATATGTTTGCTTTACTAAATCTTAAAATTTTGAAAAGGAAAGAGATTAATATCAAGAAAGATAAGCTAAGCTTAACTACCTGTTTTTTTTTCTTTTCAAGATAGGTTAGCCAAAAAAGTCATTTTTAATTCTAAATGGAAAAAATTACTCTTCGTCACACCATAATTACACACCATACCTCATTAATGTAACAGTGATAGTGGTTAGTATACGAATTTATCTAAATTCATTAAGCTGCACACTAAAAAGAGTGAATTTCATATGTGTAAATGACACCTCAATAAACCTGATTTTAAAAAATCATAACAAAATTACAATTAAATGTTATATAAAAACAAAAGTAATTTTTTAAAGTCTTAACAATTTCTAGCACTATCCTGCTCTGGTAACAGACACAGCCTAGTCATTACTAAAATCTTGGGCTCTCTTGGTGTAACAAGAAAAAAAACTTTTTCCTTCTCTACAATTAAGTTAAATGTTAAATGATATCTTGCTATTCCAACCACATTTTCAATGAATATAATTTTACAAGTCATTTATCAATGACACAGACCCTAGACAATAACAATTCCAAACAAAATATAGCTAATTAAATTCCATGTACTCTTTCTTATTTTTAGGGAAAAAAAAAATCAGAGACTAGAAAGGGTTTTGTGATTTATCTGTATCTCTGAAAGAAAATATAACAATGCTATATCAGAATACAAAAATTCTGTTCAGCTTGGTCTTAATCTTACATAGTAAATGGATTTAGTGATTGGCAAAGCCCAGACTCAAAGTTAAGTTATATGTTGGTCTTAGCCTATACTGTTCCTATTCTAAATGTCTCCTCCTCAAGAAGTATTAAAAAATACTGGTGTATTTAATATCAAAAAAGTTATCTGGATGATACACAAACTGTATTTAACTATACTATAGATCTTCTACAATCGATTCAAAAACACATCACAATATTATAGTATATTGCTATACATCCTAAAGTGAACTCGTTTATCAGAAATAAAAGCTGTGCATGGAACAAGAACAGGGCAGAGTAAAGCAGTAATCAGGAGAGGCAAGAAATTTATCAGGGTGCTTGCCTAGGTTATCTACAGGGAAGAAAGATCCTCATGGGGATCTTCCATAAATAAAAAAGGCTTGCGATACATTCTTTGCTTTCCTAAAACAAGATGGGAAAAAAGGTAATTGTGCATTATCCAGTCCCCTTGGGTTTAGTTTTCACCACCACAATTTGATTAACTAAAGAAGTATAGTGCTTATGACAGCATACAAAAAAGAGTTAACATAGCAGGCCAAAGACTATTGGAAAGGCCGGCTTGCAAGGTCAGCCCATGGCTGGCATTGGAGAACTTGAATTTGGGACGGTTCCCTTCAGTCCCTGGTAATAATGGTCACTGTGCCTAAACCGTCTAAGTAAACAATATGGTTTGTGCTGAACACTGGCTTTCCTTCTGCAGATTGGAATTTTGGTTTGTGCGAGGAAGGGGGCTGCCTAAATCACCTCCAATAAAAAGCCTTGGACACCGATTCTCTAATGAGCTTTCCCAGTAGACAACATTTTGCATTTCACACAAGCTGTCACATCTTGTTGCTGGGGGAATTAAGTAAATCATGCAACTGTAATGGAAGAGGATTTTTTGACTTTTGTTCTTGGTTTCATCTAGATCTTGCCTGTGTGCCTTTTCCCTTTGCTGATTTTATTCCTGTGTTCTCTTGTTGTAATAAATCAAAGCTATGACTACAGCAATAAGCCGAGCCTGTGAGTCCTCCTAGTGAATCACTGAACATGGGGGTGGTCTTGAGTACCTCTGACACAGTAAGATGCTCTCACATCATACTTATAAAATAGCTACTGCCAATAACACGGCCATGGGCTTTGGAGAGGCTTTAATTCTCATCAGCAAATACCAAAAACAACAACAACAACAACAAAAACACCCTGACCTTGAATTAAGTGAAATAATATATATTTTTAATAAGTGATACCTACCAGGTACTCTAGCAGGAAAAGAATCAGGAGACCCTGCTCCAGCACCACCCTCTTCTTCATCTTCTTCAAATTCTAAATTCTCTTCTTCACCAGGTGCTAAAATCCTTCTACATGAAAAAGGGCAGGAAAAATAGTGAGCTGAAAAACTAAATATACTAGTGAAGCCGCAGTTACTTATTCCCCATGTAAAATGCAGATATAAAAAATGTTGATATGCTAATATCAATGTTGATGTCAATGGCATCTATAATACCAAAGCTGAGATTTTAAAAGCCCAGAAATATCTGAAAAATAGGTATAAAATAATGATATTAGAAAACAAATATAAATATTTATTTTACCTTAATGGGACAGGCTGAACATCAAATGGGAATTCTTTATTATATGTAAGAATATTCTTTAGGACTAGAATAAAAAGATAAAGAAACAAAAATTCTTTCAAAAATAAAAAATCATATCTTAAATGACACATTTTTAATTAATTTTACTATGCATATTAATATAAATTTTTAAATTCTCAGCCTTACCACCATTTGAGAGCCACATGACATTTGTCCATTGAAGTTCTTAGCAAAACAAAAATATCCATAGTATGCTTCAGCTACCAGTATTTTCAGAGTACTGTCAGATCTCTAAAGAGAGTAAGTTCCAGAGTTGTGGAAAATGAACCCCAAAATAATTTTCCTATGTACAAGGTTCTAGGTGAGAAACTGGGTATGTAAGAAAGAGAATATCTCTTTCCTGTAGTTCTTTAATTAAAAGATGACCAGCTGAGTGTGGTGGCTCACACCTGCAATCCCAGCACTCTGGGAAGCTGAGGTGGGAGGAGTGCTTGAGCCCAAGAGTTTAAGACCAGCCCAGGCAACATATCAAGACCTTGTCTCTACAAAAAAAATAAAATAAAATAAAATAAAAATAATTAGCTAGGCATGATGGCCAAGGCTGTGATGAGCTGTGATTGTGCCACTACACTCCAGCTTGGGCGACTCCAGCCTGAGCAACAGAGTGAGAATTCAATTTAAAAAAAAAAAAAGGATGAGCAGTTAGAGGTAGATGAGTGCATTTTATTCTCTGTCCTGAGTAGATTTCCCCTCAATGCCATTAAACTTGTAGTTTGTAGCAAGGGTATAATTCTTATATTTATGATTTATTATATAGTCATGCACCACATAATGACATTTGGGTCAAGGACAGACCACATCTACAACAGTGGTCCACTAAGATTATAACAGAGCTGAAAAATTCCTATTGCCTGGTATACACTTTACTTTTTATAATATAGTTTATATAGGACTGTACTTACTATACTCTACTCTGTTGCCCAGGCTGGAGTGCAGTAGCACATGGCTCAAGGTCATCACAGCCTCAACCTGCTAGGCTCAGGTGATCCTTCTACCTCAGCCTTCCAAGTAGCTGGAACTACAGGCATGTACCACCATGCCCAGCTAATTTTTGATTTATTGTAGAGATGACATCTCACCATGATGCCCAGACTGGTCTTGAACCCGAGGGCTCAGGCAGTCCTCTTGTCTCCGCCTCCCAAAGTGCTGGGATTACAGGTGTGAGCCACCATGCTCAGCTTCCTTCTACTTATTAAAGCAAAAACGTTAACTGTAAAACAACCTCTACCTCTTCAGGAAGTATTCCAGAAGGCATTGTTATCATAGATGACAGCTCCATGTATTTTACCTGAAGACCTTACAGTGGGACAATATGTAGAGGTAGAAGATACTGATATTGATGATCCTGAGCCTGTGTAGTCTGAGGCCAATATGAGTGTGTTGTTTCATTTTTTGTTTTTTGTTTGTTTGGTTTTTTTTGAGTTGGAGTGTCACTCTGTTGTCCAGGCTGGAGTGCAGTGGCACACTCACAGTCACCACAGCCTTGACCTGCTGGGCTCAGGTGATCCTTCCACCTCAGCCTTTGAGGCAGCTAGAACTACAGGCACACGCCACCATGCCCTGCTAATTTTTTAAATTTTTTATTGTAGAAATGAGGTCTCATCAAGTCCCCCAGGCTGGTCTCGAACTGTGAGTTCAGGCAGTCTTCTCACCTTGGGCTCCCAAGGTGCTAAGATTACAGGCATGAGTCACTGCACCCAGCCTGTTATTTAGTTTTTTAACAAAAAGAGTAAGAAGTAAAAAGTATACAAAATGTTAAAAATAGAGAAAAGTTTATAAAAGAAAATAAATGTTGTACATTTGTACAATGTGTTTTAAGGTAGGTTAAATGAAAGAGTCAAAAAGTTAAAACTTTTTGAGTGTATAAAGTTAAAGAGTTACAGTAAATTAAGGTTATTATTGAAGAAATAAAAATATTTTAATAAATTTAGTATAGCCTAAGTATAGTGTTTATAAAGTCTACAGTAGTGTACAGTAATGTCCCAGGCCTTCACAATGACTCACCACTCATTCGCTGACTCACCCAGAACAACTTTCAGTCCTGCAAGCTCCATTCATGGTAAGTGTCCCATACAGGTGAACCATTTATTATCTTTTATACCGTATCTTTACTGTACCTTTTCTGTTTAGACATATTTAAATACACAACTACCAATGTGTGACAACTGGCTACACTACTTAGTACAATAACATGCTATACAGGTTTGTAGCCTTGGAGCAATAGGCTAGCCATACAATATAACCTAGGTGTGTAGCAGGCTATATCATCTAGGTTTGGTAAGTACACTCCATGATGTTCACACAATGACAAAATCACCTAATGACACATTTCTAAGAATGTGTCCCTGTCATTAGGCAACACATAACTATATATATACACATATGTGTCTACATATGTACACACACACACACACATTCACTAAGAGGAATTTATCCTCAAAAGAAGTCTTCAAACAATGTGGTACCACCTCCTGTGTTCAGCTGTGGTTGATCTATATTTCAATGATTACATTCAGGAATGTAAACTTAAAGAGAGATATTCTACAATTCTAGCTACATCTGAAGAGGTATTATACATACATAATTTAGTGTTTCATTTCTGGCCTTATGAGTTCCCAGTAACTACCTGCAATTACATCAAGGTGAATTCATGGCATTAACAGGGCAACCCAAAAGGTTCCCATGATTTTATACTCAACTTATTCAGTCTTTAATTTTGAAGTCCTGAAGTTTAGAGCAAAAATGGGTGTGGCATATCGGCACTCCAAAGGAAGAAATCTAAAGAACATGTGTTGCAATTTACTCCAGCAAGAATCAGATGTGTTCCTCAGACTTCTTATATATGTACTCTGTACTAAATACCCCAGTGAGAAAGAAGTCTGAGACTTGTGTCTAGACTCTCATTCATTCTCTTAGTCTCTTCTCAACATGTGTATTGAGTGCCCATAATGTTTCAATCACTGTCTTAAGTACTAAAGAAAACAATGATCAAGATACAGGGTCAGTGCCCTCAAGTACAGATCTTACACCCTAGTCAGGAAAAGCAGACAATACATAAGTCAACAAACAAGCAAAATAATGTAAGGACATGATCAGTGTTAGGAAGAACATGAACAGGATGAGCAAGTGGGATAGAGGGAGAGCTTTAGCTAAGGCGGACAGGGTCTTTCAAAACTAAACTGTTAGAAGACATCTGAGCCACAACCTAGGATGAAAGGAACCATCCACAAGTAGCTCAAGGGAAAGGGATTTCCAGTATTAGAGAACAGGCCAGAGCAACAACAAAGGTTAGGTTTGTTCAAGAAATAGAATGAACTGGATAGCTGAAGTTACGTAAGCAATGAGGAAGTGGCAAAAGAGGAAAGTAAAGTTTGAAATAAAATCCTAGCCCTAGAATACTTGAACACTGACTTGAACATTCACATAGCTAACCTGAATCTCAGTTTCCTCAATTCTAAAATGGAAATACCACTTCCTTCAGACTGTTGAGAGAATTAAAATCATATAATGTATATGAAATTACAAATGAAAATTTAAAGTATCATACAAGTATAAGCCTGTATTATTCTATGGTAACTCATTTTTTCCACTGTTTTCCCTATCTAGCTGACGAGAATCCTAGTATTTCAGGCCTCCCTAAGAAGTACTATTATATTATAAGAACATTCTTCCTAAACTTGGTGCATGATTGTTCACTATGAGTAAACTATTAATTCAACTCAATAAATAACAATTTTCCACTACATAATATCATGCTAGATACTAAGTATGGAGGAGTGGCTGACAAAAAAGACTACATGTCTTTCATATCAGAAAAAAAAACAACCCAGAAATGATATTTTAATAATAATAAAATGGAAGAAAATCAACTCTTAAAATATGTACAAAACATTCACTTAAAAGGTGAAAACTGTAACAGTTCTTAAGGGTATCTTCCATTTGTCTCGAAGAATTTAACAGTAGTTTTCTTAGGTACCAATGATTTGAAAAGGAAATATGTGTTTTGGTATAATAGCCTCTTATTTTGTTCTTAAAGTATAGAGTGTATCAGATATTTAATTTATATGAATAATTTTGGAAGAAAAAAACAGATCCAGTCTTACTTTCTGTAACTGTGAATAGATTTTCATTTTTACCAACTGTGGAATAACAGGGATTCCAATGTCCTTTTAAAACAGGATTCAACCTTAAATTTTACATAGGGCCTTCTTCCAACTAATACTACTTTAGAAGAATATGTAGAAGTGAGTTTATAATTTCTCAGACAATATTAAATGGGCGTGAAATACATAATGGGTTGGGGACTCACTGGGTCACTGCGTACAACTTGCACACGTAGGACCACTGGTTGGGAGACATCTGATGATATAATCTACTAGTAAAAACTCAGCACTCCCAGCCTGCTCTCACAGAGCAGGGTCCTGCCCCATTCCTGAAACTTACACTCTAAACCCTCAACTTTATTCCACTTAAAAATTCACCAAGTTCATACTGTGTGTGTGTGTGTGTTTGAGTTGGAGTCTCACTCTGTCACCCAGGCTGGAGTACAATGGCATGCTCATGGCCACTACATCCTCGACCTGCTGGACTCAGGTGATCCTTCCGCCTCAGCCTTCTAAGTAGCTGGAACCACAGGCATGCTGGCTAATTTGTTTTATTTATTTATTGTAGAGACAAGGTCTCACCAAGTTACCCAGGTTGGTCTTGAACCCCTGAACTCAGGAAATCCTCTAGCCTCCACCTCCCACATACTACATATAAAGCATTGAATTAGGCTTTGTGTGGAAAACACAAAGTTTATTCACAATCTCTTTGAAAAGTGAGACAAATACAAGTGAGAATAATACATGACAAACTATAAAAACAGATATAAGAAGTATTTCTATAAAGGAGAGGTGTAGAGTTTCATATGGCTGGGGGAACAGAGAAAGTTCTCAGAGAAAGGTGGGACATCTGTGGAACCCTGAAGAGTGAATTAACAGAAGAGAATTTTACAGGGTGGTGGCTGGGAGAAATATTTGACTAGGTAGTAGCATATTACTGATGATTAACATAAGAAAATTAAATGTGGCCGGGCTCGGTGGCTCAGCCTGTAATCCCAGCACTTTGGGAGGCCGAGGTGAGTGGATTGCCTGAGCCCGTGGGTTCGAGACCTGCCTGGGCAACGTGACGAGACCTCATCTCTACAACAAATCAAAAAAAATTAGCCGGGCATGGCAGCGCGCCCCTGTAGTTCCAGCTACTTGGAAGGCTGAGGTGGAAGGATCGCCGGAGCCCAGCAGGCCGAGGCTGCAGTGGCAGCGGCCACTGCACTCCAGTCTGGGTGACAAAGTGAGACTACAACTCAAAAAAAAAAAAAAAGAAAGAAAATTAAATGTACTTTCACAGTCTCCATTTTAGTATTAATTTCAGGCAGGATTTTCAAGAGATTTAAAACTTTGAAGAAAGTATACATCAGCAAAAACAACAACAACAACAACAACAACCTAGTCCAACATATTGAAAGTTATATTCATTCATTTTCCTTAGAAGAGGCTTGACTAAGGGCAAGCTTGACTAAGCCAGCTTGATGAAAAACAATCTGAAATACAGTCAAATATCAATTTGGAGGAAATGTTTAATTCCAATAAAATAATTAACTCATAACAAGTGCCTAGCTTTGATAAATTCAAAATTATAGAAGATATCCTACTGAGACATAGTATATACACTTATGTTCCTTTAAAAAGCAACAGCAAATTATAATCATCTAAAAAGATAATAAGTACTAGGAAAGCAGACATTCAATGAAAAACATTATATAAAGTATAATAAATGAATCCCAATAATACCCCTCCTTTTCATTCTCACCTCAAATCTTTAAAAAAAAAACTCCCCCCCCCAAAAAAAATGAGGAATAGAAGATCATGTGAAAAAGTCATACAGATTTTAGTCAAATATTTCACTAATATATAGGTCAACAATCTCTCAAGAGCTTGACCTGAAGAACTATGATATTTAGGATTGATGTCAGATAGCACCACTACAAGTAATAATAATAAAGCGTAGGTTGGGTGTGTGGCTCATGCCTGTAATCCCAGTGCTTTGGGAGCCTAAGGCAGGAGGATCCCGTGAGGCTAGGAGTTAGAGACCAGCCTGGGCAACATAGCAAGAACCTCCTCTGCCTAGGAGTTCAAGATTGCAGTGAGCTATTATCACACCACTGTACTCTATCCTGGGCAACACAGCAAGATTCTGTCTCAAAAAACAAACAAAAGCCAAGCCAAAGCAAACAATAACAACAAAACCCAAAAACCAGAGAAAGAGAGAGTATAGTAAAAACTACATAGGCTGGTCTAAGGGACCCCCACAAACCCAGGTCTGGCATTTTCAAGCTGTAAGGTCAAGGGCAAGTGCCAGTACTGTCATTAGCAAAATATAGTTGAGAAGATTTATTTCGTGCTCAGGCAATAGTGGTACCATTATTACCAATAAAAGATCCTGTGAAGCAACAGGAGAAATAATTGAACTTGTTTCTAGGAAAAGATAATGAACATCTAGGGATAAACAATTTACAATCTTTATAGTTACCTTATGTATCTTTAAGATTCTTAAATTTTGTTTGGAAACCAACTAAAAAAAACTTATGGAAATTAGTGACAAAATAAGAAGCCAAAATCCTAATTATTTTTATTATTAAAAATTGAATTGAATAATTTTCATTAGAACCATTACATAACAAAGACATTTTAAATATGGTTATAATCTTATTTATATAGTGATCAATGTGCTTTTCTCAAAATAATCATAGTCACAAAAGACTTTATAGTAGTATATGATTCCACTTATATGAAATGTTTAGAATAGGCAAATTTTTATAAAAAGAAAATAAATTAGTGGTTGCCAAGAGCTGGGAATTGGAGAGGGGTGGGGTAAAATGAGGAGAAATGATAACTGCTAATGGGTACAGAATTTCTTTTTTGGGGCAACAAAATGTCCTAAAAATTGTGGTGATGGTTGCACAATTCTATTACTATACCAAAACCCACGTGACTTACATGGTATTTGAATCATATCTCTATAAAGTTGTTATAAAAAATAATCTCATACAAAGTATTTGTTAATGCTTTTTAAAAAGTCACAAAATATTTTCCTCTAAGTAGAAACAGAAAAAAAATTGTTTAACGGAAAAAAGTCATAAAATAAAATACCTTGTGCAAGAAAATATAGTTAAAAATAAAAATTTGTGAGAAACTTTATACTATTTGTTTGGCATTCCTATATACATTGCATATAGGTAAGAACAATAACAAAAAGCTTATAATCTGGATACATAAAGCAACCAAAACTATTAAAATGACATAGTTCATCACAATTCTTGGCATTTTCAGAAATGTTAATAAGAAATGAAATACATATGATCGCCTAACTACTGTGAAAAAGTCATCGGAATCCTAACAAATCTGCTATATAATCTTATTTTTTTGTTACTTCTCTCTCCAACTCAAACAACAGATGTCAGGTCCCTTTAGTACAGATTTTGAGAACTCATTTCTTGTTCTGGACCTGCAATTAGAATCATATTTCATCTACCACAATAATATAATCTGTCTTTGTCAGATGTGCTCTAAAAGGTTAGAAACTGGCAGCTTATGGAATTTATATTAACACTCTCTTAGTTCTTATGAAACAAATTTTATCTTTTACCTCTTACCTGAAGTACAGAAACTGTAAAAGGATGGCACTAGTGTGAAGAGAGCTAGACTGACCAGTGTCCTCAGGTTTAGGCCCTGCTTGGCTACTAAGGGTCAAAGTGAAAAAGGGCTAATTGTTTCACCTCTTTCTTCAACTACGAAGTGAGAGCTCAGCTACATGGTTCTTAAGACACCTTTCTCTTCTAAAATGCTATGATTTTATGAATCCCTACTTAGAAATTTGACTTAAATGGATACATAAAACCTATTTTTCCTATTTATGTAAAAATATTAAGATGTGTAATCTTTTTTCAATGAAAGATGAGAATACTGACTTACATTTATTCTTATATTCAACTCTTGTGCATTTGCCCATAGTGCAAACATTTCTCCTAAAAGAACATTCATTTGAACTAGCAAAAAAGCTTTATGTGGCAGCATCCTAACCAACAAAACATTTGAATGAATTGTTTACTTCAAAAAAGAAGAAAAAGGAAAATGGTAATAACAAGGAAATATTCTTGATGGAGAGCAGTTCCAAAAGTTGGACTGCAATTTTCAATGACACGTAGCATAAATGGGAAGCAGTGACTGAAGTTTTATATGATCTACTAGAACTCTACTGCAAATGTTTACCAAAGTATTTTTAAAATGATTAGGATAAAATAAAGGTGAATACATATTTAAATGAGGTACAACTTCATATATTTTATAATGAAGATGAAATCCAAACAATAATTACCATAAATACCATAGGAATCATAAAAGCATCCAGAAAAAAAATCATAGAACTAGGTATTAACAGAAAGAAATCAAATCTGCATCTATGCTGAATCTTAATATCTATACTAGATTCACTTTTTCTAAAGGAGTACCACTAAAAAATATAAAACTTACTTGGTTCTAGTTTCTTCAGGTCCTCCAGTTTAAATTCTTCTTGGGACTGTGTGGACTAAATTTAAAATAAGAAAATTATATCTTTTTATTACAAAGATTTCATTGTACTCTATGTCTTTTAAGAGGCAAGAACTAAATATTCAAAAGGAATCTATTTCTTGCTCTCAAGGTAGAAAATGAAAAGTCCCAAACTGGTTTTTGTTTATTTTTGGAACGTTCAAACTCAAAGTAACAGAAAAAAACTGAAGTCATATATTTTATTTTACGGTTTACAAAATATGAACTAAGTCTTTGAGGTGTAAGTTTAATTGTAAATTCCTACTATTAATAGATGAATTCCTATGATTATAAAAATCTTCTGAGACAATACTGCTTTTGGTGTAGATACCTAATATTTAATCAGAATAATTCAGAATTAATTTATTTTCCTTGTATTAGAAAGAAGGAAAAAAACCTCTATTTACCTGTAAAGCTGCACTTCGCAATTCCAAGCATGTTGCAATTTTGCCTATGGTTTTCTATAGAGGAAAAAAAAAGTTACAAATACAAAAATTATTATAACTTTTAGTTGTTAAAATCATGTTAATTTTTATTGATAAGAAAGCCATAATTATTTAAATAAGTTAAATTTTATTTCTTTCTAGCATCTTTGCAGACTTTAAAGAGAAACAGGAGGCAAAAGGCTGAAATGAGAGAGAGAAAGTGAGTATATATTCTCTCCTTATCTAATGTGCTACAGATAATTTTAAGTTTGCTTTGGTGACAGTTTTAGACAACAATTTAAGGAGGAATGAAAAGGGTTTCCTAACATCTTATTTCCTAAACTTTACTCTTTTTTTCCCCTCCATATAACCTGAAATTCACTAAAAGACTTTTTTTAAAAATCTGAAGTTAGCACAATGGTATAATTTAACTTTGACTTAAATCCAACTCTAACTTGTTTGCACAATGGTATAATTTAACTTTGACTTAAATCCAACTCTAACTAGTTTAATTAAACACATAGGCAACACTAAGTAAAATCAATATTTATAATGAACAGTGGCAAATTTTATAGTCACATCTATTTTATATAAAATATGTTATCTATATAAGATATATTATAATGAACTATAAAATGGATATAAATGATGGGGCATAGTTCTTGCCTTTAGTAAGCTCACGATCTATTATGTGAGATAAGATACATACTGAATCATTATAATATAAAGCAGATATACCGAATTCTATAAGCTTCAGCAAAGTAAACCATTATATATCCTAAAGAAACAGATTTGTATTTGGAATCAAGTCACAAAGATTAGGAGGATTTCTAAAATTAAAGAGTTTAGAAAACTGTCATGGTTCAATTGTTTAAAGTCTCAAACTACAATCAGGAGAAGATAAACTTGAAAAGTAATTAGGAGAAGAAGACAGTCATTTTGAAGAGGACCTTCAATGACTGGCTAAGGAATATGCTCTTATTTAGCAATAAATTACACAGAAGGTTTTGAAACAGATAACTATCAGATCTGTCCTTTAAGAAATCTGTTATAATAAAAGACAACAGGCAGAAAATCAGATTATTTCAACTTTCTAGGTAAACAGTTACCAGAACAAAAATATGAATGCCTGGGGTAGAAATGAAAAGGAAGAGATTCATAAAAGAAACACCTATCAGAGCAGGCAGTTGAGTCATGCCCATCAAGACTTTTAAGTCCTTCCAAAAAAAATGTTACCTTTAAAGTTTTTATTAGGAATAAATTCAGACCATGAAAATGAATTTATGTACACTGTTTTTGCAATGCCCGAACAATGAAATATTCTGGGAAAAAAAGGACACATATTTTTCTACATGCATCAATGACATGCAAAAGTTTAATAAACTGGGTTTGGTGGTCTTCTCTTTTGCCAGTTTTCTTTGGAAGGCAAATGAGGAGTGAAGTGGAGTAACATGTATCATCCTGGCTCACAGCACTTAGGCTAGTGGGCACTACACAATTACTGTATCTACGATAAACAGCTGATATGGCAACTCACAAAATAAACCACTGCTGAGCAAGATGACTCAAAATCAACAAGTAACAATATTTAGCCATCTCCACAATCTTAAAAAATTATTTTTAATCCCAATAGAAGAGTTTAGAAAATGTTCAATTTTATTCTGAAGATTTACATGTAAAGACTACATTTAAAAAGTATACTTACATATAGTAACTACAAAAAGATTGAAGATACTCACAGGAGAGTTTTACTCAATCTCTCAAACCAGCAAATCTTTTCTACATAAAATCTGATATCCCCAAATCAAACAAACCCCCCAATTAACAAAGTAGTAAATAATTTCAAATGTAAATTTAATAGTAATAGCAAAGGCGAACAACTATTGAGCACTTACTAAGTGGCAGGTTCTCCTAAGTGATTTACAAACATTACTTCATATAATATTCACTATATATGAGTATTTAATACTCACTATAACCCTATGAGTTAGATACAACTAACTAGATGTGAAAACTGAAGCACAGACATGTTAAGTAACATGACCTAGAAATCAACGCCTTCTATATAATATAGCAATATATAAAAAAAGCAATACACTTACATTAATATCATTTAGCTGTAACTTTTTATGCTCTTCTAAATTTTTTTTAAAAATTTTGTCTGTTTTGAGATATATCAATGAAAATTTAAATACTTTAAAATATTACTTAACTTCTTTTCCTTCTTTCCTATAAAATCCAACTTTATAGGAAGTTTTTTATACATTTAACATTCAAGGTAAAATGTAGTTTAACAACTATTGAGTCCACGAATATACTATTTTAAAATTTAAACATTTCTTCAAGTTAAGCAAAGGCAACAGCTTTTTAAACAGAAATCTTCTGAACTATGGCAAAATACCAATAGGCATTATTCATAACTATTTTAAGGAACCACACCCAACCTCAGTAATAAAAAAAAAAAGGAGTGAAACACTATCATCTAAGCTGTAGCATTCACTTTTAAAACATGTAGAAATTTACTGATATCAAAATCAAGTGCTGGCTACAGTAATTATTTGGTTTCACCTTCCTTAGAAATAGATGGCTCACAAAAATAATTAAGAAGCATAAGTTCACACATGCAGAAGTATAGTATTAACAACTGATGTATATCAAGATTAAGTTCTAAAGGTAAATGAAGTTTAATTTTAGAAAGACTTGAATTATCGGCATTTCATTCAAATTAACTGCTATACCTAATACGGTATAGAAATTTTAAATGCTTTCTTTTTAAAATACTGTATATTTTACTTTGTCATTGCTAGGAAAATTGACAGCTCAAAAGATCAGTTAAAGGAAAAGATGGAATGAAATGAATAATTGAAGAATGAAATTAATTTTGCTAAAATGTATTCAACTTAATACAAGAAAAAATTGGGCTCAAAAAATATACATAAAGAAGTATAGTCTCATTTAATCCAGATTTAATTTTTTAGATTTCAACTGTCAGTCATCTACTGTCTAGCTGGGGGATTGGAAATGGAAGGCAAGGGTAGAAAGGGGAGAACTATAAAATGTAAAACAAGTATATAGTGCTGGAATTCTCATCACCACCAAATTTGACTCAAAACAGGGAAAAACTTTCTAAGCATCATGAGACAGGATGTTCTATTCTGTCCAGAAACTTACATGAGAAAATCTACTACACCAAAGTAGGGAATTCAATGGAATGAAAGCTTTTGGCAGCTATTTGTTGGCTCCTAAACTCAGTTGTTATAATGACAAAACTATTGGGAACTGAAATGAAAGCTAAGTGAACTAATCATGAGGGAGGATCAAATAAGAATCATGAACTTTCTTATTTTACACCAGAAATCTTTGTGAATATTAAGTACAGAAAATATGAAGTTTTCATACAATTTATCACTAATTAGTATAGTTTAGAGAGATCGGTAGTTCTGCTTTAGAATTCTTTAGATTTAAAATAAACATTGTGAAAACGTTTGTAGGTTACTCTCTCAAAAATTAGGATTGATCTTAAAAAATAGTTTTATCTTTTCTTAGTCATACATGATTAAGTATCAATAACTAAAATCCAAAAAAAGCATTTTTCATCAAATATTTTTGAAAGCTCACTAGGAGCAAGATAGTAAAAAGCTTCATTTTAAAAAGCACTTTAGAAATATAGTTCATTTTTTAAAAAATCTTCTAAGTCCCGCAGACTACTGAATGGCTAGCATAATTCTAAAATTTGCCACTACTACAAAAACACTGAAAATAATAAAAGCATGAAAAATACAATTCAACATAAAAAGCATAAACAATTTTGCTTAAAATAATATAAGGAACATCCTCCAATTTTCTCTTTTTAGGAAAACACAATCAAGTTATTTCTTCTGTGGCTTATGTGACAGGTCTGGCATTTAATTAATTTTGTAGATCCAACAGTTTGTATCAAAATTTCTCATTATATGTTTCAAACACTAGACTCAATGAAATATTCTATAAAGGGAGAATGAGGACTTCCAAAGCAAATAAATTTAAAATACCGCATACCCAAACTCTTTAAAATATTCAACATATATGTTAGTATATTAAAAGCCCTGAGAAGTCACACACTCTCTCTGTTCAAATAACATCTATTAATTTCTCAGAACCAATGTTCCCCAAAACATGCCTGGAAGATCTTTGTTTTCTGATCATCTATTAACTTGGAGCCTCTGATAACTTTTTCCTTATGGGACATTCAAATAAGGCCTATATGTCAACATGAGTTTTTTGGCCTGTAATGAATGTTTCACTTGCATTTTTAAAGAAAATTAAACTTTTAAATGTGTACGACTTGCCTTATATTCATAATGTAGTAAAGAGTGATTTGGGGGTCCTTCTCCAAGCCCAAGGAATAGGCAGGCAGGCAAAGGCTCTCTCTGTAGTCACAACTGGCAGCCACAAATGCCTCCTAGGCAGGTATTATATACAAATAATAAACACCTCAGAAATCAGGCCTCCAGGAAAGAAGGAGGTACAGAATACTTCAAATGTAAAGATCATTAGAAGATTTAGGGATACTTTTGTAGATCATTTAGGGTTCTCTAAATACCTCATTTCATACTAAGACAATTAAAGCCCAGGGCCAGAGCCAGAATGCAAGACTCTAAGTTTTCTGACTCCATATCTCAGCTGTTTCCTCTAGTTGATGCTGCCCCTTGGTCCTTTTGGGGTACAGATCTGTAGGTCTTTGAAACCAAAGATAAGCCAAAAAAAGACAGCTACGAAATAGCTACAAATAAACAGCATTATCAAACACACCAGCTTCAGCCTTAGAAAGTTAAAGAAAATTAAGAAAGAGTTAATTTTTTCTAATTATTCTAATCATTATCATATGACAAGTCTCATTTCTTCACGATATTTTTTGTGGTAATTTTAGTATGTTTTAGAAGGAAGGTCTAATCACTTTATATTTGCGGTCATGTAGCTCATAGGTCCTATACCTAAGCATTATTTGTTGAAAACAAAGCATAAGTAGTTCAAAGCAATGCCCTAAGCTTTCATTCTGTTTCCATATTAATAACACTTTGTTAGCTATTAATTAATATACTAGGATATCTGAGATTCTGCTCATCAAAATTTAGATATTTAATACTAATTCTGTGATGCCAGCTAATCATTTCCTAAAGAAATTTCACAAATAGTAAAGTGTATAGTCTTTGTTACTTTCCTTAAGTAAATCAGTCATTTCCTCTGTGGTAATTATTTTCCAGAGCTAAAATCCCAAGTCTCTTAAATCTTTTGTGGATATTAGCAGTTATTAAGGAAAATGCTCTTTTAAATTATAACGATGTGGTTTTTTTAAATACCAAAAAAAGTACACTAGATAAAATAGACCTTAAATATTTTAAAAATGCAAATATACTAACTTGTAAAAGAAATATGGCTAATCCTAATCTTTGGGGGCTTTTTCTTCCCCAACTCTTATAAATAAGAGTCAAATGAATATAGGCCTATGAACTAAAATAAATTTGTTAGGCTTATTTAAAAAGTGTGCAAAAAAAAAAAAATCACTCCCATTTTCAATGTGCAAAGAAAGAATAAATAAAACCAAATTAAGTCATCATAGTTTTCATATTGTCTTTCTTAAGAGATGAGGGGAAAACTGACACTTTTTTTTTCTTCACTATCTGCAAGATTAAAAATTGACTTAACACTAGACACTCTGAGCCAGGAGAAAATAGAATTTGTTTTCTCTCATTTCTTTTCACTCTTTTGGAATAAAGCTCCCTGAAAGTATCCATTTTTCATAATCTCTAAACAGTTTAGAGAATCAACTTGACACATAAAAATTTTAATTCAAGGAGAAAAAGCACCATTGAAACATTTTGTAATCTTAGGCATTTATTTTGCTGATAGACTTTTATGCCAGATTCTTGACTTGAACTGATTTTTTTTAAGGGGAGATTTTTTTGTTTGTCTTTTTCTGTGTATTTGTTTTTTGAGGGAAGGTAGATGAGGAATAATGAAAATTCAGAGTTAAGTAAGTGCTGAGGTAGAATGCAAACTCACAGTTTTTCTATTTTCCTAAATGACTGTAGACAAACTGCAGTCTCTGGATTTTCCTCACTTCTTCAGTCAAAGTGTGCATGAACTCTACAAATTTAAAGCCTAAATGGCTGAGTAAAACAACTTTTTAAGTGATATGTCATGTAGTATCTCTAAATAATCACTTAATGTAAGGCAAAGCATAATCACTATCATTCTTTTTACTTAAGAATGAATCGTTTTTTTTTTGTTATGGGGTTTTTTTTTTGCTTAATGAATTCGAAAGACAGAACCCTTTTCATTTGGAATCTGATACATCCAGAGATTATTTTATGGTACCTTTTGTTCTTCTGTGAATTCAGAATTATTGTGCTGAGCTTGGGCCTCTTTTTGTAGATGTCTTGCTAATCTGTGAAGAAAACAAATATTCTTTAGAGTTGAAGGAAATCAAACAGTTGCAACAAGGTGAAACAATTTAAATCTTTTAAAAAATAGTGACGTACAATTATGCTTTGTTCTATTCTCAAAGCATAAATCTACATTACCTTGAGAATCAAATCTTCATACAATAATAATGAAAATAAGATATAACACTTTGCATATCATTTCACTGGGACAAATTTCAACTCTAGGCAGTGAAAACAGAATTTTAGAGCTGGAAAGAATTTCAAAGGGTATCTAATCCAACTTTCTTTAGTATGCATGAATTTCTTCTATAACAAGCCAATAAGTAGTTGTCCAGATTCTATTTAAATGCCAGAGTTACTTTGTAAGTCTATCATTAATTTGCTGACAAAATTAGCTTAAATTCAAATTACAGCAATAACAAAGTGGTAATACTCTATCGAAATATACTTTTGAAAACATGCTTTCGTGTAAAATAAAGAAAATCCTTCATCAGTCAGAACTAGAAATCACTGTCCAATTATCATCATAATAAAAAAATACAAACTTGGCTTTGGGTACATTTTAAAGGGTAGATCTATATTATAGGTAAACAGTGAGGATCCAAAGCTACTCCTGAGACAGCAAAAATCAAAGGATTGATTCTTACAATTAAACAATAAAAAGACCAATTTGGGCAAAAGATGTGAATAGACATTTCTCCAAAGATAATATAAAAATCAATAAGCACATGAAAAGATGTTCAACATTATCAGTCATTAGGAAAACGCATATCAAAACCACAATGTGATATCACTGCTCACCCACTACAATGGGTATAATTTTTTAAAAAGAGAGAAAATAATAGATATTGGTGAGAATGTAAAAAATTAGAATTCTCATACACTGCTTATGAGAATGTAAAATGGTGCCAGCCACTGTGAAAAACAATTTGGCAGTTTCTCAAAAAGTTAAACAAAGAGCTACAACATGACCCAGCAATTTCAAAATTCTAGGATTATACTCAAAGGAACAGAAAACATACATTCACACACACACACACATACACACACACACACACACACACACACACACACACACACACACACACACTGTATAAAAATGTTTACAGAAGCATTATTCATAACAGTTAAAGAACGAAAACCAAAATGTCCATCAACTGATGAATGGATAAATAAAATGTGGTACCTCCATTCTGTGGGATATTACACCATGATAAAGAGGAATAAAGTACTGATAACATGATACATTATAGATGGACCTCAAAAACATTATGCTAAGTGAAAGAAGTCAGATGTAAAAGACCACATAAATGATTCCATTTATACGAAATGTCTATAATAGGTAAATCTATAGAGACAAAAAGCAGATTAATGATCACCAGAAGATGGGGGATTAGAAGTGACTGATACCAGGTGTGAGGTTTCTTTTGGGAGCGGTGATGAAAATGTTTAGGAATTAAATAGTGAAGATAGTTGCACAACACTGTGAATATACTAAAAGCCACTGAATTGTACACTTTAAAATGATGAGTTTCATGTTATATGGTACTTATCCGAGTTTTAAAAATTTGTAGGGGAAAAAAACTAGCAAAAGAATTAAAAGTAAAATCCCCAAGTATACTAAATACTATTATTCTAAGTGGGCGATGGGGATAGAAATACAAAGGGCTGGATTTTCTATTAAGCCAGTTGCAGGAGACACAGTTCGTGTTTAGAAAAAAAAGTACTAGATAGAAGTTCTATTCAATCATGTATTTAAAAATTGGGCATAAAGTTCATTATTCTTGATGGTCTCTATCAATTTACATCCTCTTTATTGTTTTTTTAATTATTATTTTGCTTTGGGTTTTTGTTTTTTGTTTGCTTTTTGAGTTGGGGGGTCTCACTCTGTTGCTCAGGCAGGAGTACAGTGGTACAATCATGGCTCACTGCAGCCTCAACCTCCTGGACTCAGTCTCTCAAGTAGCTGAGACCACCATGAGTGGTTAATTCTTTGATTTTTTTTTTTTTTTTGTAGAGACAAGGTCTCACTAAGTTGCCTAGTCTGGTCTCCAGCAATCCTTTCACCTCAGCCTCCCAAAGTACTGGGACTACAGGCATAAGCTACCTGGTCTGGCCATCCTCTTCATTATAAAGCAAGAAATACCTACAAAAATCCTAACATTTGCCAAGATAGCTATATTTAATCAAATTGCTTCCATCTATTTATTTCTTTACTCCCAAAGCTGAAAACCTCATAATATTTTTTTCTAAAATGTCATAGATTCACTTTATGTGGATTCTATAAAAGAGAAGGTACAAACAGAAATACAGATAGCCCACTGTCTTTGTTCTGTACTAGTTTTCTTTTCTAAAGTTCCCTGGCCTATCATCTATATGATAGACTATGAGTGGAATCCATAGTCTATCCTTAGCAACGTCAACCATACATACCTGAACTCAGAGAAGTTATAGTGTGGAATAAATTTCTTTTTAAAGTAATTCTACACATAATTTGCTAATGGTGGTTGTCAATCAAATTAGGGTCATTGTCAGAAGAAAGGGTAAACTCCTGCTCAAGTGATAATAGTCAGGAGAAAGGAAGGATGCTAAATTCAGACAGTTTGCCTAAAAATTAGGCAACAGACTAGGAGTAAATATTTGTAAGATATATATCTGATAAAAAGACTTGTATCCAGAATACATAAAGAACACTTAAAACTCAATAGGTAAAAGACATACAACCCAATTAAGAAATGGGCAGGCCATTGCCAGGCCATTGTGGTCATTGCCTTGCTAAGCTATGGTGTGGTTATGTGCTCTTTGAGCTATGGCTAGGCCATGTTTTCTTAAGCTTTGGCCCCCTCTCCCACCTTGGGGAGGTGAATCTCTTCTTTCTCTCTCTCTCTCTAAGTTACTTTCTAAATAAACTATATTTTCTAATGTGAAAAAAAAAGAATTGGGCAAAAGATTTAAACAAACAAGATTTAAATTTCACAAAAAGACTTACAGAGGAAAATAAGCATATGAAAAGACACTCAACATAATTAATCATTAAAGAAATGTAGATTAAAACCACAATGAGGTGTAAGGTCAGAAACCAGAACCTTCATACACTGCTGGTAGAAATATGAAAAGGTTTATATATAAAGCTGAATGGTTTTTCCTGTATTAAAAGTAAAAAATGGTCTGCAATCTTAGCACTTTGGGAGGCCTAGGCAGGAGGATCACTTAAGGCCAGGAATTCAAGACCAGCCTGGGCAACATAGCAAGACTCTTGACTCTACAAAATAAAAATAAAAATAGTCAGTCAAGTATGGTAGCAGACACCTGTTATCCCAGCTACTTGTCAAGTTGCCAGCTACTTCTCAGGCTAAGGTGGGATTGCTTGAGCCTAGAAGTTGGAGGCTACAGTGAGTTATGATCACGCCACTGCACTCCAGGCTGGGAAACAACAGAGGGAGAGCCTGTCTCTGAAAAGAAAAGAAATATATGGTAATCCAGCTTGGACAATAATTTGGCAGTTTCTTTAAAAGGTGACACGTAAATTTATCATTCGACCCAGCAATTCCACTCTTAGATATCTACCTAAGATAAATGAAAATATATGTCCACACAATGACTTGCATGTGAATGTTCAGGGCAGTATTTTTGATAATAGTCAAAAACAGAAACAATTCAAATGTCCATCAACTAATGAATGGATACACAAAACAGGATATATCCATACAATCTAATACTATTTGCCAATAAAAAGAAACAAAGTATTGATATATGCTACAACATGGATGAACCTAAAAAACATTATGCTAAGTGAAAGAAGCCAGATGCAAAAGATCACATACTGTATGATTCGAACTACATGAACTGTCCAGAAAAGACAAATCTGCAGAGACAAAAATGTAGATTAGTGGTCGTCTGGGGCTACAGTGGAAATATAGTGACTACAAATGGATACAAGGGATCTCTTGGGGGTGATGGAAATGTTCTAAACTTTGTGGTAACAGCTACACTGTTCCATAAATTTGACTAAAAACTATTAAATTGTACATGTAAAATAAGTAACTTTTCATGTTCATGTACTATCCCTATCCCAACATTCCCCCATAAACTACCTCCTGTATGTTGTATGATCTCAATAAAGTTGTTTTTTTAAACACTTTTTAAGCCTAGATGAAAAATTAACTTTCTATATCCGCAGATAAGTGCACAATTTTAAGGCATTTGATTTTGTCCACTGAAAGCAATTTATATGTTCTGAATATTAGATAAGCAAATAAGAGTTGACGTTGTACTAGTAAAAGTGAGAGAAACCTGTCAAATATTCTTCTCTAAAGGCATCTCACCCGACAAAGTTACCGCCAAGTAAAACAGGATATTCTCAAGGGGGAGTTTTAAATATTCTCTAAGCACATAACTGATAGAAACCCCACAGCATTCCATGACACAGAAATTAGTGCTTCTCAGATTATTTGTAGTGAAGGACCACTTTTTCCTCTAAATCTGTGCCAGGATAATACTTTTGTAAAATACAATTTTTAAAATATCATAAACATGTCAAATTGCTAAAAAGTTTCTATATGTTACCTCTCAATATCTTTATCTCATTGCAGACCAATAACAGTTTGCGGGCTGGCACCAATCTGTGGACTACACTTTAAGTAACACAGATATAAAACATAACGAAGACAACTAAAAGTGGGTATCATCCAACCTTTAAACTTATCAATTCATTTAACATACACATGCAAGATTGATCCTATGAAATGTCTGATTCTGAGCAATGGTGTCATTCTACCATAAATTAGAGGTCATGTATTCCCAGGTAGCTGAAAGAAGTGACCGGAGTTACTTTTTATTGACCATCTATGTTGTGGATAACAATTTAGTTTTGACATCATTTATTTAAATCATCCAACAGTATTTTGGTATCAACTCCTTAATGCTCCCACGGCATACTCCTAAATTCATTCATTCAACAGAATGTAATAGTTACATAATGTCTCAGGCCAGGCATAGTGGCTCATGACTATAATCCCAACACTTTGGGAGGTCAAGGTGAGAGGATTCCCTGAGCCCAGGCATTTAAGACCAGCCTAGGAAACATAGCAAGACCATCTCTACAGAAAAATTTTTAAAAATTAGCCAGTCGCGTGTGGTGGTCTGAGCCAGCTACTAGGGAGGTTGAGACAGGACAGCCAATGCCCAGAAGGTTGAGGCTACAGTGAGCAGTGATTGTGTCACTGCACTCCAGCCTGGGCAACAGAGACCTCAAGTCAAAAAATATATATATAAGCCGGGTTCGGTGGCTCAGTCTGTAATCCTGTGCCTTTGGGAGGCTGAGGTGAGTGGATTGCCTGAGCCCGTGGGTTCGAAACCCGCCTGGGCAGCGAGACCTCACCTTTACAATAAATCAAAAAATCAGCCGGGCGTGGTAGCGCATGCCTGTAATTCCGGCTACTCGGAAGGCTGAGGCGGAAGGATCGCCGGAGCCCACAGGTCGAGGCTGCGGTGGCCGGGAGCGGCCACTGCACTCCAGTCTGGGTGACCGAGTGAGACTCCAACTCAAAAAAAAAAAAAATATATATATATATATATAATGTCTAAATAAACAAGTATGCATGGATAGCCTAGTAATACCAGACACTAAGTTTAAAGTAGAGCGACACTAAGTTTAAAGTAGAGATCAAAACAGGCTCCCCAAACCACTCCATTCTAGTGGGGAGAAAGATAGTATGTAAAACAAATACACAAAATATATTTATATATATTTAGATTGTGAGAAGTACTATGGAAAAAATGAAGCAGAATGGGGGATAGGATGTATGAGGCTGAAGTAGAGGGAGTGGAGGTAGATAGGAGGCATTGTGGTTTTAAATAGGATGGCCAGAGAAAGCCTCACTGAGAAGACAGTATTTGAACAACAACCTGAAAGAGGTAACCAAGAGACCAAAGCAGACAATGGGTGGAAAAGTGTTTTGGAAACAGTAAAGAATATGGGAGCAGTTACTTTTCATACTTCTGTATTTGTAATACCTACTCTAAAATCTTCCATTAGACTCTCAGTGCTTTCAGGGCAGAAATCAAAATGTTATTCACCTTTGCACTCCTTAGTTGTTGAGTGATGACTCTTTTAAGCTATAGTACTCTTACATTATGATAGTACAAATATGTACTATCCCTCTACCAACATCCCTTCATAAACCAGATCTTGCATGTTGTTTGACTATAATCACTGCTGCCTAAATTAGAAATCTCACTTATTCTAGACTCGTCCTCCTTCTTCATTCTTGATATTCAGTCGGTGACTAAATCGTGTCAATTCTTGTTTACATCATTATAGTGGCTCCCAACTGGTCTCCTTTGCTGCAGACTTTCCTCCCAAACAGATATTTCAAACAAAAAAAAATCTGCCTTCATATCTGGATATATTAGATACTTTTAAACTCTTGATCTCATTTTATACATAGTCTGAATGTTTACAAAATTTAAATCAGTCATTACATATCTCTACTGAAATTTGACACTGCCAGTTTTTATAACTTGAGGACTACTCTGGATCATGGAGTTCAAAGGTTAGTACTGAGGTCCAACAATGGATTGCCTGCGCCTATTACTCTCATTCAGATGTTTCTAGAAATTCCAACTAACCAGCTTGCATATTCAACTTTCCTTTGTGATTTCAATTGGACATGGTATTCTTCACTTTCCATTGTAAGGTCCGCTGCTCAGTGCTAACAGCTGCTAGGTCCCACATCACAAGTAAGAAGCAGCTTTATATTTCAAGCTATGAAATTTTAGTTAACACACAAAATGAGCATACATCAGTGTTCACTGTGTAACTCGCTCACTATCTAACTGGCATATGGAAGGGTATGTTCTTTGGTAATGAAGAAAATCTTCTCATTTGTCCAATTGACTTACAGAATTACTCTATCAAGGCATCTTAAAGAAACTTAAGTGCTATGTAGTCAAGGAGACAGGATTTGGAATAAATTTTAAAAATCCCAGATTTCAGTGGTATAGTTTTGTAACCCAATATAATCTTTTAACCTGAACTTCAGTTTTCCTAATTTTGAAAAATGAGAATATTTATATTCTTACTGGGTAGTTGAAAGAGCAAATGAAATCATGTGAAAGTGTAAAAGAAATGCTAGTAGTTGTTACACACAGAAAAATGTCTCAGAGCATGGTTGTTTTCAGGACTTTTGGAAACCACGGGCAATTCAAAGTCAGTAAAACTGGGTAGGCAAACACCTACACATCTAAATTATCTTAATGATCTGATAAAAACAAGTACTGTGGGGAGAGGATAAGAGTTTAGGTCTTCCAAGTATCAACTGTGTATTCTTTCCAGAAGACGTGGGGGAGTGGGATCTACTCATACATGATTTCATTCTCGGTGAAACCTCAAACAATAACTTGCTTTAAACGAAGAATAGTTAATTGCGACAGGTTGCAAACAATAACGTCTTAGTAGGCAGTTATGTTCAGTGAAAATGTGCAAGAAGCTAAGCAAGATTTTAGATATATATATAACATGTTTTCGTTTTAAAAACATCCCTAAAGTTTTTTGGAAAAACCAGAAAGGGAAAGAAACCGGTCACGTTGATCCAGGGTACTGGCACTCACATGTACCCTACGGCTATACATTCAACACAGGAAAAGGAGGAGGGACTCAAGGAGGGAGTGGTGGCTCCTGTGCGTGGTCTATTAATTCACATTTTGCTCCCTTCTGTTCACATCCTGCGCGGACTCCACCCAAAGCAACCGAGTGAGGGGGTGGGTGGCACTCACAGCCTACCAAATAACAGTCCCAGAAACCGAAACGAAATTGAGGTGGAATTGTGAAAACACGATTTACCAGAAAGAGGGGTGGAGAGGGAACGCGAGAGGGGACCCTTCTTTTGGCAGGGAGGCACCCCCTTCCCTCAATCGCAACCAGTTCCCTCCTCTCTTACACATGGAGGGAGGAAGACACACACGCAGAGCAAGGCCACTCATCCCTGGAACGTGGGCGGAAAACACACAAGTCTTCCTCATGGATTTCAGAAGAGAAACCGAGGAAGGGCAACCTGGGAGAGGAGGAGGAGAGGAGGAGAGGAAACTGACCGCCGGCGGGGGACCCCTGAGACGACGGAAAGAACTGAGTGGGTAGCCTGTTAGGGCCGGCGCCCAGGAAAGAGGGCTACCTGTTGAATGGCACCGGCCGGGCGCAGGGGGGAGGAGGGCGAGACACCCGGGGCAACGGACCCGTTGTCTCCAGACCGGCCTCGCGGGGGCCCGTGGGCTCTCAGCCCCAGTGCCTGCGGGGCCCCGCCCTGAGAAGCCTTGGCTGGAGATACAGTGATGAGAGACACCGACAGAAACGAGGGAGAGGCGAACGACTGGAGCCGGTCTGGCCCGCTCCCGCGGTTAGTCACTCACATCTGATACTCGTCTATCGCCTCCACCAGCTGGCCCCAAGAATCGAAGTCGGCGCCTCTCCTAAAACTGGCGCCCCAGCGCTGCAGCAGACTCCGGGTCACCTCCGACATGGCCGGTCCCCGCCCCGTCCCCTCCCGCCCCTACCCCAGCGAGACCGGGCTCTAGGGCGCCATCCTCCCCGGGCCTGGCCCCGACATTAACAGGGCCAGGCGGAACCGCTACGGCCACCACCGCCACCCGCCGAGGAGCCGCCCAAGCCCATTTGCCGCCACAGCCAAACTTTGCGGCTCCAAAGCGGCCGCCCCGCTGAGGCCCCGCCCCCGAAGCCCCACCCCGTGTTAGGTTGAGGCCGCCCCGCTCCCCTGCGGGCTGCCATCGCTATCGCGGCATCCTCCCTTGGCTCGAGCGGCAGGGCCAACTCTTCCCTGCCTCTCTGCGGAAGAGAGCACAGCTCAAAGCGGAGAAATCTACAGGAGAAGCTGGAAAAAGCTGCCGAACAGAGTACTTTGGGGAGGTCGCGACGCCAAGGCAACCCCCGCCCCTGAGTTGCTCGCAAGAGCGCCTCGGTAGCGGTCATGGCCGCCGGCCCATGTGACGTCGGCTTGGCGCTGGCCTGGTTTCCTGTCGCTTTAGTTCAGTAGTCTCAGTTCTCCGAAACTCCCTCCTTTTCTCGCTTGCGGACCCCGATATTGCCTTTCTTCCCTCAGGAGGACTTCTGTACAGACTCTGAGAAATCTGGTAAGTATGTCAGAAAATGGGCGTTTCTCAGTAACATAACCCCTTGTTGTTTCCCCGGAGTCCCAAGCAATAGGGTTGCCCCCTTTAACACTAGTCTCCGTAGACCCTTGGATCATGGTCCAAATAAGACTTTCGAATGCCTTGAAACAAACGATAAAAATTCCATCTTAGCCCCGCGAATCAGTGGTATCAACAGCTAGATCCGCCCGCGTCTCCATTGGCTTCTAGAGGTCTCATAATACAAGCTAAGGGGTTCGTTCGGCCGTTGTCTGCCCTCCTCTCCCGGGTTGATAATATCGGCTTTCCACGGAAATGCCTACTTGTAAAGAGGGGGCACGCTAGGGTTCGCGCATGCGCAAGGTCGCCGCCCGCCGCTTCCGATGGGACCGGGCACCGGAGGAAGAGGCTGGGTGGTAAACAGGAAGTGGACGCTCCGAACCTGGGGGCGGCACTCAGGTAGGTTCCTGGGGGACTTATGTCCTCCGGAGTAGGGGGCCTTTGTCAGTAATCCAAGTCCTGTGAAAGTGTGTGAAGGTTGTACTGATGACTCTAAAGATACCTTCGTACTTCCAGGTGGGTGTGTCATTCTTCAACCCCACCCTCCGAATTCCCGGAACCAGGAGATCTTTGGGTCCTAGAAGGGTAAACATGGGGCAGGGCGGTAACTTAGACCTTTCATTCCTTAAGTAATGATACACACAACCACAGACATTTTCATTCAGGAAGTGGGAGGCCGCCTTGAAAGGAGTGTTAGTAGAAAATTTGTTTTCAGCCATCAAGTTTTTTGAGTGTGACGTTATCTTTAGAACGCTTGAGTTTAGACTCGTATATGCTGTACTTAGACTAGGAAGTTCATGTGGGAGATGTTTAGAAAATGGTGTTTTTTAAAAGGACTTGCTAGTTGTTTTGCGTTATGAATGAACCTGTTCAGTTTTTCATTGGGTCCACAGTGCAGTCTCTTCGTTAAGTATCTGGTGCTCCCCTAAACCAGTTTTGTCACGAATAAGTAAATACTGTAAGGGAAGTGCTAAACGTAAATAGCATAACTTTTTATGCTATTTATAGTGTCTATTAAATGCTTTACCTTTAATTTTTATACATTTCTTTTTTGTTTATAGAAAACATCTGGAGAAAATGACCCATTGGTTTCATAGGAACCCATTAAAAGCCACAGCTCCTGTCTCTTTTAATTACTATGGTGTAGTCACTGGTCCTTCAGCTTCAAAAATTTGCAAGTAAGTATTAGTCAATCTTAGCAAATATTGATTGTTGCACCCTTGGATGCAAGGTGCTTTTTTAAGTTCCATGGGCAATACAGAAATGTGTAACATACTGTCCCTAGCTGAACCCTTTGCATTCAGAGATCTCTTATGTATCATCTACCAGCAACTCAACAGCACTATTTTACAAAATAGTAAAAAACAAATCACTTCATTTTAAGTAGTATAGCATTGGAACCAGTTGTTTTATTTCGCTTATAATGGAATTTTGGACATTGAAGAACTTATATGTGACAAAAAAAATCAAAATGTTGTGTTTTTCTAATGTATGGTAATGTTACTGACATGCATTGCAGATTCACTGATATATATTGTTCAGTAATAATTTGTTTGACATCAACTACCTGGTGTTTTTCTATTTGAACAGACAATGCAGTCTCATTTTTGTCCTCCCTCATTAATAATATGTAATTTATTGTCCAGTGTGTGTTCCACTGTGAGAGCACTTCACACACAATCTCTTTCTACATAATGCCAACTGATATTTTTTACCCATATCTCAGCATATGTTCCATCTCTTTATTTGCTTTTTTGTGCAATTTGAATGGAAAACTTCAAGGAAATATAAATTTTTGGTAAAGTCATACTGGCATAAGTTTATCCTATATATTCACTAGCAGTCTCTTTATGTCATCTAAGAGGGGACATCCAAGTGGTTTGCTAGATTTATGACGTCCCCTCAGAGGGGACATCTGAGGGCAAAGAGTTAAATTTCTTTTAACTTTATAAATGGCATGTAAAGAGTTAAGTTATAGACCTTTTTAAACCTAGGACAGGATTCTTAATTTTAGATCAATAAATGAATCCCAAAAAGGCTAATGCAGTCACAATAAAAGAGTTAAGCTGTTTATTGCTGCAGTACAGGAGACCTCACAAAGTAATATATGGACATTGTTAATTGTCCAAATAGTATATTCATTGAGATCAGTGCCGCGAGAGATCCCTGTGTCCTGGAATGACCTTCGAAGTGTTGAGAAAGGGCTTGAGCTGTGGAGCTTTAATGACATGTATGACTTAGATCAGGTGTTGGCAAACTGTCCTACAGATTTGGCTCAATACTTATTTTTATAAATAAAGTTTTATTGGCACACAGCCAGCCCCACATTTCATTATATTTTGTATATGGCTGCCTCTGACTGCTTTCCTTTAAAACAGCAGAGTTGAGCAGTCCAGCAGATAACTTATTACCAGAAAAGTCTGAAATATTTACTGTTTTGCACTTTATCGAAAGTATTTGGGATTCCTGATTTAGATAGAAAGGAAAACCAAAAATCATTTCTATCAGGAAACTCTTCATTTTAGGGATAATAAGTAGAGCAGTCTGGTTAGAACAAAAGAAATACATTCAAGAAATACTTTGACGGGCTCGGTGGTTCAGCCTGTAATCCTGCGCCTTTGGGAGGCTGAGGTGAGTAGATTGAGCCTGCGGGTTCGAGACCCACCTGGGCAGCGAGACCTCATCTCTACAATAAATCAAAAAAAAATCAGCCGGGCGTGGTAGCGTGCGCCTGTAATTCTGGCTACTCAGAACGCTGAGGCGTAAGGATCGCAGGAGCCCAACAGGTCGAGGCTGCAGTGGCCAGGATCAGCCACTGCACTCTAGTCTGGGCGACAGAGTGAGACTCCAACTCAAAAAAAAGAAATACTTTGAAGGAGGAATCAACTTACCTGATTGATTTACTGTGGGAAGTTGAAAGGGATTCAACCTACATGAGATAGAGCACCTAGATGATTAAGACATTAGTGGTATCAGTAAAGAAAAATCAGGAGAGTTGTTACTTTTGGGGGAATAAGTAATTAGAACAAAATGGAGGAAAGTTGGCTTATTAATCTAGACCAATTTTCAGCAGACTTTTTTTTATAGAGGGCTAAATAGTATTTACTTTAAGCTGTGGGATATTCTTTTCTGTTCATTTTTACAACCCTTTAAAAATAAGAAAACCATTCTTAGTTTGAAGGCTGAACAAAAATAAGCTGTGAGCTATACACAAACAAGTTAAAGGATATAGTTTGCCAACCCCTGATCTAGACTTCTAGAGGCTGGTCTTAGTTTAGCTGTTGTATCTGTAGCATTGAGCAAGTTCTTTTTTTTTTTTTTTTTTGAGTTGGAGTCTCACTCAGTCGCCCAGACTGGAGTGCAGTGGCCGCTGGTCTCCAGCAATCCTTCCGCCTCAGCCTTCCGAGTAGCCGGAATTACAGGTGCACACTACCACGCCCGGCTGATTTTTTGATTTATTGTAGAGATGAGGTCTCGCTGCCCAGGTGGGTCTCAAACCCGCAGGCTCAGGCAATCCACTTACCTCAGTCTCCCAAAGGCGCGGGATTACAGGCTGAGCCACCGAGGCCGGCTGCAAATTCTTAACTTCTTGGGCTTAATTCCTAATCTGAAAAACGAACAGCCTAAATTAGCTGTTTCTAAAGTATCTCTTTCTCAAATTCTACAGTTTAGTATGGATACTTCTTTATACACTGGACTATAGGTGATGATCAACCACCCACATGGAAATAGATAGCAAACTATTGGAGTATGGACTAGGCCTTAAGGATTTGCATTTCTTCTTTTTTTTTTTTTTTTTGAGTTGGAGTCTCACTCTGTTGCCCAGACCGGAGTGTAATGGCTGCTCCCGGCCATTGCAGCCTCAACCTGCTGGACTCCGGCGATCCTTCCGCCTCAGCCTTCTGAGTAGCCAGAATTACAGGCGCACGCTACCATGCCCGGCTGATTTTTTGATTTATTGTAGAGATGAGGTCTCGCCAAGTTTCCTAGGCAGGTCTCGAACCCACAGGGCCAGGCAATCCACTCACCTCAGCCTCCCAAAGCGTGGGATTACAGGCTGAGCCACCAAGCCGGCTTGCATTTCCTCGTAATCTAGGAATTAAATCACTCCTTTTCAGCATGTAGATAAATACCTTAAACAGTAACAAATTCATAGGTAGCCTGTGCCATTTTCAGTCAGCTATATGTAATTGTTGATATACATATTACCTCCCTTTGAATTAGTACCAGTGAATAAGCACTATATCTAGACCATTCAGGATTAAGTCTGTATTCTCTTCTAAGTTTTACTGCTGTATTACAGCCCTTTTAAATTGCAAAAGAAAATATTTAAAAAGTTAGTATGTTTTCACTCAACAAATAATTTTGAATATGTGCTTTTTCTTAGCACCCAATAAATTCTAGATATACATTCCCTACTATTTTGGTGCTTAAAATTTAAATTTAATCATTTGCACACATTTCAAGGGTCTTCTGTCATTGTCCATGTAACGTGAATTCTGGAACCCTTGCTAAGCTAATTGCCTCCTGGATTAAATATGGAACTAGAAGTTGAACCTGATGATGATAATCTCAGAATGGATATAGTTGAAACTGTACCGATGAGATCTCAAAAAAGAGAAACCAGAAAACAAAAGACTGAACATTTCTGGTGGTGGGAATAAGAAAGGGGCATAGAACAAGGTATAAAAGGAACTTTTAAAAATAATAGGTACACCAGGACATTTTAGTGTTATTGGAATTAAGGGAAAAAAGAATTTCAAGAAGGAAAAGGTAAATCTGCAACTTTTATTGCTGCATAGAATGTAGACTAGGGAACAAAAATTAAAGGTCACGTTTTTACATATTCTTGATGTGTATGTTGAATTGTAGGATGTAATTTCATTTTTAAAATATGATTTTTGATTTAATAAAGTATATTTTAGACATTTTACTTGTCATGTCAAATTTAGAAATTTTTAAGGAGATACTAAAATTATACACAGATATGTTAAATATCTGTTTTTCAAAGAACTTATGAACTGGTTAATTTAAAGTATTTATGTTTTATTCCTCACTGCATCTTAAATGCATGCATTTGTTTGACTTTTTTTTTTTTTTGGAGTCGAGATCGCACTCCTTCCCAGGCTGTATTACATTGGCACAATCACAGTTTACCACAACTTACAACTCATGGGCTCAAGCAATCCTTCTGTGTCAGCCTCCTGAATAGCTGGGACTACAGGCATGTGCCACCAGTTAATTTAAAAATTTTTTTTTAACAGATGAGATCTCCTTTGTTACCCAGGCTGTTCTCAAACTCCTGAGCTCAAGTGATCTCCCACCTCTACCCCCTAAAGTGCTGGGATTATAGGTGTGAGCCACTATGCCGAGCCTGCTTGATTTTTTTGTTTAATTTAAACTTGCTGTATATTTTAATTACATAATTGTATTTATAATTTGCCCCTTTAACTGGACTTTAGTACAACTTTTAAAAACAGTTATTACAGATTTCAACTCTAGTGTTAGTCCTAATTAAATTCATTCCTGTGTACTTGGTAATACCTCAGAGGAGGTAAGGGCGGGTGTGTGTGTGTGTTGTGTTTTAAAGTCTTTTTGTTAAAACCTGTAAGGCACTTACACATAGATTCATTGCAATATCTTACATAACTTTGCCATTTCTTTCTGTTTCATATAAGTGACTTGAGATCATCCAGGGCACGACTTCTTGAACTGTTCACTGATTTGAGCTGTAATCCAGAAATGATGAAGAATGCAGCAGATACATATTTTTCACTTTTACAAGGTTAGTTATTTATATGAACTTCTGGACTTTTTAGCAAAACTGCACAGAAGTTTACATTTAACTTTTAGACTTTTCCGATTTGAATAATTTAGTCTTCCAGGCTGTATTCTTTGGTGTTTTTGAGGTTCAGAAATAGGAGAATGTAAGGGCGGTGTGTGGTATTTCTAATGTTTTGAAAATTAAATATGTGCATATTGCATATGATGTTACCTTAGAAGAAGGTGTGAGATGTAAAAAGAGAGAAAGGGGTGAGAAGTTTCATTCAGGCACCTGGAAAAGTAATTATCTGAAAGTTTTTCTGAATAGAACACTCAATATTTCTTCTAAAACTAAAATGTCTTGTGTCTTTTTATAGGTTTCATAAATTCATTGGATGAATCTACCCAAGAAAGCAAGTTAAGATATATTCAAAATTTCAAGTGGACTGACACGTTACAAGGACAGGTTCCAAGGTAAGCAGTGCTAAACTAGCGCTAAATTGAAGTCAGTTTTTGTAACTATCTAACCAGTAGTTAACTTGTAGCCTCTGTATTTGAAGAAGAGGAATACATGTCTGATCAACATTTTATTAGGAAATTAATTAAAAACACTTAAACTAAATTCTAGTGCACACTATTAAATAAAAATGTAATTTTTTTTTTCTGACCAAATCTCTTTTTGAGATAATTAATATAAATGCTAACTACAATTGACTAGCCTTTGACCTTAAGTAACAACAAAGAGTGGTTTGGGAATTTGGAATCCATACCTGGTTTTCCATCTTTGCCTGCTTTCAAGCCTAGCAGAATTTAAGTTTTTTCACTTACTTTTCTTTTCCTAATGGATACTTCAGATATCTTTGGTTAGTCTTTCTCTCTTTTCTTTCTCTCCAATATCAGCTCTTGATTCACAGTATTTATTTTCTTCCTTAGTTCTTTTTGCTGTTTCTGTCTTTTTTTAAAAACTTCCCTTCAGAGCTTTCTCAACTCTCACGTGATATTATTATTATTATTATTACTATTATTATTTTAAGTAGGAATTCATATAGAAGACAAGAAAGTTTCCAGCAGTGAGAGGGGTCCTGAAAGGGTTGCCTACTTGATATTATTTAAAATAGATGTAATCATAACAGGAGACATCACAACGTGTGCCAATTTTTCATTTAACTACTCTTCTTTATCACCATTGTGTTGTTTAAAATGCCTATATATCTTTAACTCAATTTGCTTTAGGTTTACTGTTTTATAAAAGCAGAAAAGAAGGAATTGGAAATTGGAATTAGAATTGGAAAGTAGGCTGTATGTTATAGTGGCTGGACATTATAGTCTATACATTGTATTCATACATATCTAGGTACAATCCCAGGTTTTCTACTGAGTGAACATGTGCTTCTTCAACTATATGTTGGGGTTACAGATGGAGGACTTCATGAAGAACAAGATAAACAAAATTTATATTAAGTGAACAATAAAATGCTAGGCACATAATAAAACATGCATTAAATATTACTTTCTTCCTTGGGAATTTTTATATGTAGAATTCGTAAACTGGTTATGAAGTAGGGACTAGGGATTCTTTCTAAATTTTAATATTCTGGGATGCTAAGTTGTTTAAGACCTCATTTCTGTTTTTCGATATGAACGCTTTGTTTTTATCCAAAATTAAGGACAAATTTTTTTTAATTAAAAGGACTTTTAAAGAATTAAGCATCTGTTATTACTATTATTGTTATTATTATTAATTTTAAAGACATAGGATACAATTCAGAGTTAGGTACATAAGTGTTCATCATACAGATGAAGTTTGGGCCTCCCGTTGGTCCATTGGTCCTCACTTTGCCTGGTTTGGGATCAGGCACCCTTATTAGTGTTATGTCCCACCCACCCCTCCCCCCCAAACAGTGTCCTGCTACTGCCAGTCTCTTTCATGTAGTATTATGATAAATATTCAGAAACTACTTATGAGTGAGAACATGTGGTACTCAGTTCTTTGTTTCTGTGATAGATCACTGAGTGTGATGGATTCTGAATCCCTCCAAGTTGCTGTGAAGTCCATAACTTTGGCCTTTATAGCTATGCAATATCCTATTGTGTATATGTACCACACTTTTTTTATCCAGTCTGCTTTCAATGGGCAGCATGATTGGTACCATGTTTTTGCTATTATGGATAGTGCTGCAATAAACATGCGTGCACAAGTATCTTTTTTGTAGAATGATTTGAATTCCTCTAGGTATATTCCCAGAAGGGGGTTGCTAGGTCATATGGGAGGTCAGTTTTTAGATCTTTTAGAAACCACCACACTGTTTCCCACAGAGATTGTACTAGTTTACACTCCCACCAACAGTTTAGAAGCATTACCTTTTCTCTGCATCCTCTCTAGCATCTGTCGTTTTTTGAGTTACTAATGATGGCTATCCTGACTGGAGTTAGGTAATGTCTTAGTGTGGTTTTGATTTGCATTTCTTTGATTATTAGTGAGACTGAGCACTTTTAATAGGGCTGTTTGTTTTTTTCCTTTTGGCACATTTGAGTTCCTTGTAGATCCTGGATGTTAGGCCTTTGTCAGATGTGCAGTTGGCTAATATTTTTTTCCCATTCGATGGGCTATCTCCCCACTCTTTTAATGGTTTCTTTTGCTTTGCAGAAGCTTTTTGGAATTAAACCTCTGACAGATTCTGTAATATTTTACACTACGTAAATTTGGTGGGGTTTTTTTCCCCATCATGTCAAATTCTGATTCTGTTAACAGTGAGCTACCGCTGAACATTTTTTTCAGTGTTGAGACAGTGAAGAATTATGTGATGAAGACCTTTAGTAATATTGACTATTCAGTACATATGAGATTTCTATGTTTATTTATGCTTGATTACTGCTTATTCAGTAGAAATTGCACTGTGAGTATTTCTGTTCTGAAAAATAGTTTGCCCATTTTATATACTCTGACTATTCCTTGTATATAGTGTCATAGTAATGGAATGTTTGATAAAAAGGAATATTGAAATAAATGAAGGATAAAAAGGAAGAGTTATTCATGAGACTTCACTTAAGTTAGCAAAACTGTCTTATTTAAAGTTGTAAATTAAAAATACCTACTAGATCATTAGCTATAAATCATCTGGAGGTTTTCAGTGCTGAAAAGAATAAGCTATCAAATTATGTATATTTATTTCAGACAATAAAAAAGTTTGAAGAAATTGTTCATAACTCATTTTTTTAATATTATAGTCTAAACAGAACAGTTTATTAATTAGTGTATGTTTTATGACAAATTTTTTTTTTTTAATCTAAAAAGTTGTCATGTCTCCATTCCTTTTTAGATAGGGGTCAACAAGTAACTATAAAATGTAAGCTAGAATGATGATTCTAGTTTCTCCCCTTTGGATAACTTCCGTATCTTAGTATTACATGTGGAAAATAAATATATTCTGCTTTCTTCGTCAGTTGAGATAAATGAGATAACACAAAAAATTTTCAGTTTCTTGTAAGAACAATGATAACTATATATTGGTATCAATATCTCATGTGCTTAATATATTTTTGGCATCTTTATGTATATTTAATAATAGAATCTGAAGAAAACAAGCAAGGTATAAAGTATACTTTCCAAGAACTTTTTGTAAAATACTGATGGGCTATGGCATTAAAAATCTTCTAGGTCCTCTCCTGCTCTTTCAGGTCCCCTCCTGCTGTGATAGCTTTTTTGTCTTCTTAATAAATCCTGCTTTTAAAAAAAAATCTTCCACAGTTTGGCTTCATTTTGACTTTTCCCCTTTTTTTCCTAGATTTTTTTTTTTTTTTAATACCATTTATTCCAATCAAGCTCATTAGGTCACTTCTATAAAAAAAAATCTTTATACTTTGTTGTGCTCGATAGCATCACTTCCTTTCCTTGGATGTCTTTTTGCTTCCCTTCCAGTCATCTTACCAGGCACAATTTAAATTTTTTATATATATATATATATATATGCCATTAAATCGTCTTTAAATATTCTATCCTGAAACAATGTCTCCTCTGAATTCTATTTTCTTAAAGTGTTGGATAAGAACCATTCACTTCAGAAACAACTAAGTATTTGTTAAAAATAGATTCTTGGCCCCATCCCAAGCTTTCTGAGGTTAAGTCCCAGGAATCTGTATTTTTATTACCTACTGTGTACAATAAACTGGAAACTGCTAGTCTCATGTTAATTATTATGAATAATACATATTGGACCATTATCTTTAGCCATTCATTGTTTAATTACCTGTGTGTCTTATCTCCCCATCTATGTGAAACATACCCCTTTTTTCACGTCTACCAGTTAGCATTATAGTTCTTTGTAATTTTGAGTTAGATGTCCAGTTGGTTTCATGTAGCAATGTCTCAGTAATTGACAAAACCTGATGATCATGTTTATGATTCCAGTGCCCAGCAGGATGCTGTTTTTGAATTAATTTCCATGGGATTTAATGTAGCTTTATGGTATACCAAATATGCTTCAAGATTGGCTGGAAAAGAAAAGTAAGTTAAAAGGGGGGATTATGTGGAGCATCAATTTAAAAAATATAGATTAAAAAATCTTGATCAAAAAGTACCACTTTAGACAAGTGAAAGATTGCCTTATGATGTTAGTATTTTAAATATCAGAATTATGGTGCCTAGTGTTAAAAGGGAAAAAAAATTAATAGTCTTGTCACATGGAAGGTCTTTCTAAATAACACTCCAAACCAAGAAACCATAAAATGAAAGATTCAATACTTGACTACATAAAAGTACTGTAAGCAAAGTTTAAAAAAAAAAAAATTGATCAGAAACATTGCAGTGTATATGATAAACGGATTTTATAATGTATATTCTTACAGATCAACAAAGGAAAGACTTTCAAATCAATTGAAAATAAGCAAAGGACATGCACAGGCAGTTCACAGAAAAAGAAACACAAAAGGCTTATAATTTTGTGAAAAGATGTTTTGAAGCTTTAAATAATTGTAACATAAAATGAGATGCAATTTTTGTGATAGCTTAAGTGAATATAACAACAGGAAACTGGCAAATTATAGTTCTTCCATACATGGGAATACTATGCAACCATTTAAAAAATGAATCATAATTGTGCTTTAATACTAGAAGTGAGATTTGTCCTCTAATGTAACCCCCATCTTTCAGCATAACAGAAGATGAAGCAAAAGAAGTCTATCGAAGCCTAAAAATTGCAGCTGGGATCTTTAAACATTTAAAGGTAGGAAAAAAAATTGTACTTAATGCTTTAGCTTGTAAATAATTTTTTATTTTTTGACTTTTGTTTAATTATGTAAAAAACGCTAGTATGTATTTTTCTTGTGTTATGTACCGTATTGATGAGTACAACCAATTACTAAATATTAAATGTTTCCATTTTATGGTCTTAAAATCACTAGTGACTTTTACAATTTGAAATTTCAAGTCTTCTAATTTTTATGTGTCTTCTGAAAACATAGGAGAAAGTAAAGCAGAAAAATGAATGGTTCTTTCCATTTCTCATTGCTCTACAGCAGTTGCCAGGAACAGTCCTAATTGCACAAAACCGAACTTCTGATTGCATGCTCTGAATCTCAGTGAAAACACTAGAGGGGCAATCACTGCACTCTAATTATATTAAATTGCATGGAGATATGATGGAAATTAGGAGAAAGAATAATATGTCTTCCAAACAGAATTTCCCCCACTTCATTCTAATTAAACCACTATTTATTGAAGGCCTTCTGGAGGCCAATGTTGGGCTTTTTCTTTATAAAATAAGAAGCTTTTACAGTTACTAAAAAGCTATAATCTCAAATTAGGTGTAGAATTGCAGTGCTTTTTTCTTAATATCTTTATTAATGTGAATGAACAATTCAGGCTATCATTCAAAAGGGAATTTTGGTTACTATTTTAGTTATTTTTCAAGATAAAAGTATGGCTTGCATATGAGCAATCTGTTATGACCGCAATTTTGCTCTTAAATTTTTTGTTCTTATAAAAAGTTAGTATACATGAACTTTAATTCTTTCTTACTGCATATTGTTCTTCTTTTACAAAGTTTTTGTTTATACCCTGAATTTCTTGTAAGACTCAAACTGAATGTCTTCATTTGACTTCCATTTTCTTCATCTCTAACAACTGGATTAAAATAAAATTTGGCTTCTTTTTTGTTGTTTTTATTTTCCAGGAAAGTCATCTCCCAAAACTTATTACACCTGCAGAAAAAGGAAGGGATTTAGACTCACGACTCGTAGAAGCATATATTATTCAATGTCAGGCTGAAGCTCAAGAAGGTACCTAAATACTGTAAGATATTTTTCTGTAAGAATGTCTGTGTTACCATTTAATTTTTTTTTTAATCAAAATTATCTGGAATTGGATATTAGGTTTTGATAAATTTTATAATGAGAAAAATGTTTATTTTAGCATTTGCCTTCATTCTTAATTAGCTGGAAAAGGTCTCACAATTTAATGGCCTTATAGATTTTGGTCATGCCTATAATCCCAGCCCTTTGAGAGGCAGAGGTAGGAGGATCACTTGAGCCTAGGAGTTGGAGACCAGCCTGGGCAAAGGGCAACATAGCGAGACCTCATCTCTACAAAGGAAAATTAGCCAGATGTGGTGACATGTGCCTGTAGTCCCAGCTACTCAGGAGGATCTCCTGAGCCCAGGGGTCAGAGGCTATAGAAAGCTATGATCGTGCCACTGCTTTAACTCATCATTTCTACCTCTACTATACTCATTTTTTTTTTTCCTGCTGCTTTTGGCTTACCTTAAAGTCTTCACCTTTCAGTGGCAGGAAATCATGGGACTTATGTGAAACAACAAAGAAACTTTGTAAGCTTTTATTTTTCTTTACTTTAAACTCCAATGCTTCTCTGAAGTATTTGTTTCCTATTAAGGTCATGCTATTTTATATTAGTAATTCTCTGTGACTAGTTAGTAATTGACTAGTGATTTATTTAAAGAAATGGTATCAGAACCAACAAGTTCAGTGCTTTCTGTTCATATTGTCATTTTCTGTAAATTTTTATGTTAAAACTTTTAAGAAACTGAATTAAAATCCCAGAAGAGATAATCAGACTGTCGTTTGCTATTATAATTGAACTTAAGATGAATGCAAGTGAACTTAATTGTAGATTCATTTTATTGTGTTTGGTTACAGTAACAATTGCTCGAGCAATTGAACTAAAACATGCACCTGGACTAATTGCTGCACTGGCATATGAAACAGCCAATTTCTATCAAAAAGCTGGTAAGCTTATAATTCTGTTGTTACAGTTTTAGTCTTTAGATTTTCAAGTTTATTTGGTCTTGACTTAATAGGGAACCAAAAAAAGATGATCAGATTATTTGATTGTTTATAAATCTGAAGTAATACCTTCATTATTTATCTTGTTGAATGTAAATGAATTAAAGCTGATAACATTTAATATGCCATATAACTTCTAATGGAAAAAACAGTGCTGTACTTCTTAACCAGTGATATCTAATAATCACAATTTTTTGTTTTTTAATGGGATTTGTTTGGTCTTTATAGCAACCTTACACAAGGGGGGAGCCCCCAAAAAGTGAAATTTATTTATAAAAAATTGTGTATTTGGCCTTGCTAAGCACTGACTAGGCCATGTTTCCTAGCTTTGGCCCCCTTCCCCTACCTTGGGGAAGAGAATCTTCAAAATCAATCAATCAGTCTCTCTCCCTCTCATTTACTTTCTAAATAAACTATATTTTCCAGTCCAAAAAAATTGTGCATTCTTGTTTAGATTTTAGTCACCTTCAAAGTTCTGTCCATTTGATGTACTACATCTATCATGATGCTTTTTCTACTGCTCAAAAGAGTTTTTGAACTCTTCAATTTTGATGCCTTTTAGTGCTTCTGCCGTTTTTTGTTTCACCTCTTCCACATCAGCAAAACGTTTCCTTTTGAGGACTTTTTTCATCCATGGAAACAACAGAAATTGCTCAGGGCAAGATCAGGTGAATAGGGAGAGTGGGGCACAGGGATCATGCCGTTTTGGTCAAAAACTACTGTGCACTTGGCACAGTCTGGGCAGGTGCACTCATAAATCACCCATCATGAAATGGGCAAGCACATTGAAAGAATCTCCAAAATAAATTCACTGAAGCCAAACGCAGCCTCTCGCAACAGTGCTAGCTGGTACACTGAAGCCAACAAGTTCCTGGAACACGTATCTATCAGGGGAAGCCTGTACTACAAGGGACCTGCCGTCCAAAAAATAATTCTGGGTTTTTTGAGGATTTCCCCTCGTGGTTACTATCTTAATTAGACAAAGATCTGAAATTCAGAGGGTTATGACTAAACACATAATTTAAAATGTAGCAGGTGGAGGATTGGGACTGGAACACAGTTCTTCTGATTGACCTATTATTATTTACATTCACTTATTTAGGAAACATGCATATGTTTTTATTTATGACATGGTTACTATTTTAGTTGCTGAGTAGAGATAAGTAGAGCAGATTTGCATTGTAGGAAAAGACATGTAATCACATTACTATATCATTAAGTAAGACGATGTTACAACAATTAATTAAGAACCTAAGCAATCTAGGCATGCTACAAAAGGACTTCTAGAGGAAGGTGATATTTTAGCCTTATTGTGAAAAATAAATAGATGTTTAAGTTTCCTAGGAAGCTTCAGAGTATAGGAGTAGAATGTTCTCTATAGTAAATACAAAAATAAGAAAGAACACATTCTGGATCCTTAAGACAGTTGCTCTTAGCTGAAACACAGGATGTGTGACAGGAGAAAAATTTGGTAAAATATGTATGTGTAAGATCAAGAATTGTAAGCTTTTGCCCTTTATTCTGTAGATATTTGGAGACTATTTAAAAGTAAGTCTAACTTTCCTGGATTTGAGTTTAAGAAAGGTCCCTGTAGTTGCAGTATTACATATGGGCTTGCTGTGTGAAGGACTAATAGGCTAACTCTACGTAGCACTTAAGAAATTTGTATAGTCTATGAAGAAAATGATGAAAGCTTTGACAAATACAGCGAAGTAGGAAATAGAAGGAAAAGATTAACCTGAGAGATATTTGGTGAAAGGATATATGAGTGAATGTGTGTGTGTTTTATACAAGATTCAATGTTAGAGGGAGTGAATGAAAGAGTATGTTCTGTGTTTATGACTTGGGTGACTAGACTACTATTTGCATTGCTATGTTATATAAATTTCTTAAGTTAGATACCATAACAGTATAAACAGTACTTACTTTTAAGTTTCTGGTCATAGTTTATTTTTTAAATTATCTTTAAAGTTACATTAACCATCAAATCAAAGAGATGCCATGATATTTAACAGATCTTACAGAGCTTAAAAGTGTAGTTATGGGAAAATAAATCACTTTAAATAAATAAGGGTTTTTTTTTTAATGTGTAAATTCTTGAGTATTAGACTTGAATGCCATTCTACTTTTAACATCAGAACACATGAACTAAAAGTCTTCTAGTGAATCAGGGTGAAATTATATTTTGCTTTTTAAAATGTAACTTTAGATCATACTTTATCCAGTTTGGAGCCTGCATATTCTGCCAAATGGAGAAAATATCTTCACTTGAAAATGTGTTTCTATACAGCTTATGTAAGTATTTATAACATGAAGAACAATGTAAATTATTGTCTCTCCATCCCTTGGAGTACCAGGTCTCTCATCTCACCAGACTTTTCATTAGCATTTTACAAATAATGAATAGCTAGCTCTCAGTAAATGTTCGCTGCCAATCAGTGCAGCCATTGTGAACTAAAGTGGGTGGAAGGAGATGGTGTAGAAGTGTAAAACTGGATTATAGCAATGAATTACTGTTTGATTAAAAACCCACTTTTGGGCTTAAACCTTCTGCATACTTAATGAGAATTTTCAATTGATTAATTTTGTACATTGAGAAAGATACTGACTAATTCTCCTCTTAAGGCATGACCACACAGTATATCACCTAGACTGGTGAATAACCATCACTAAACATCATTTTGAAAGTTACTGATCAGTCTGTTGTACTCACCAGACTTAATTGTTTTGTTGATTAGAATATCATGTGAGAGATAAAAACCTTTTTCAGGCTTAAGTAGATATTTTTCTTTCTTATATTTTATATTTGTTTTCAAGCATACTACCATGTATGCTTCATACATGCACTGATATAGACATTTAAAGAGTAAACGTTAAGGCTACTACATTTATCTTAAGACCTCTTTAGCCCTTAACCTCAAAATACTCCCTCTTTCTACCCTCTGCATTAGCACAGTAGTTTCCTCCTTTGTCTACTATTTTCTCATTTTAGATACAGATTTCAGCAAATAGCGTTTGCTCTTAGGACATGATGACAAGGCTGTTTTGGCTTAAGACTTGACATAATTTTATCCTTTATACAAAGAGAGATGGAGAAAAGCTTACTCAAGAAGTGTGAGGGATTGTATTGATACTTCAAACAGTAGAGAAAGGCATCAATTTATCTGATACATATGTAAAACAATAATAGGTGAAATATTATATGGTGAGAGAATGAATAAAAATTTGTTTCTTTTATCAGGCTTACTGTTACCATGGTCAGACTTTATTGGCTAGTGATAAATGTGGTGAAGCAATCAGGTCTCTCCAAGAAGCAGAAAAATGTAAGTATCCTTGTCAGAATATTAACTCCCTTTTTAAAAACAAATGCTTTAACAGAAGGGGAATAGTCAGCTAAAGAGATTTTGGCTAAATTTATGAAAGGGAAATAGAAAAGGGTGAGTTAATTGAAGAAAAGAAAAAAAATGTTTCAAAAACCTAGAACCTGCAGAAAATACCCACCTTCTACTTACAGTATTAGTATTGGTATTGCTGTTATATTAATAAAGTGTAATAAAGGTATTGTCTCCCAAAGTTTGTAAGTATAAATAAGCAATATTAGTTTTACTCAAAAGACTTTGTATCTCTCACATGCAGTTTATGCAAATGCAGAAGCACTATGTAAAGAATATGGAGAAACCAAAGGACCTGGACCAACAGTCAAACCTTCAGGACATTTGTTCTTTAGGAAACTTGGAAACCTTGTGAAGACTACCCTAGAAAAATGTCAGAGAGAAAATGGATTTATGTGAGTACGGCCTAATACTATTTTAGTATTATTAACCCTTTGCACTTGGATATACCCTCTTGGGAAATAAAGAGTTTGCTAGTGATTATACAGGACAAACATGCCAGCGCTGATTTTTCAAAAATGTATGTTTCCTTGAAGTTTTCCATTCAAATTTTGCACAAAAAGGCAAGTAAAGAGATGGAATATATACTGAGATATGACTGATCAGCTGAGAAGTGATTTTCAGGAATCACAAGTACATCCTTCCACAGCATCAAACAATAGACTGGATAATAAATTACATATTTGAGACTGTACTATCTACTCAAATAGAAGAACACCACGTAGAAGATGTCAAGCAAATTACTATTGCACAGCATGTATCAGTGAACCGGCAATGCATGTCGGTGATTGTTTCACGTCACCACACGTTAGGAAAATATAAAATACAAAGTTTTGATTTTTCTGTCATAAATAAGTTCCTCAGTGTCCAAAATTCCATTATAAGCCAAATATCATTATAATAAGCTAATTGGTTCCAACACTGTACTAGTTAATATGAAGTGATTCGTTTTTCACTATTTTGTCAAAAAGTGTGATTGAGTTCTTGGTAGGTGATCCACGAGATGTCTCCAAGTGCAAAAGGTTATTATTGTATTGCTCTATAATTGTATTAAAATATTAATATTCTAGCAAGATCAGAATTTCTGTTAGTCTCTATTTCTAAAAGTTCTATGTTAAATAGCATTTAAGTTTAGTATTAATTTTTTCTTTCAATTGGTGATAAAGTTCACTTGTGTAGGACTTAACTTTTATTCTGCTTCTGATGATGACATATAAAAGCAGATTTTAAGATTCAAACAAATTATTAACATATAGTTCACTTCATTAGGACTGTTACTTACTTTCCTAATTTTCTCATGACTTTGTTTTCCTGCTGTTCTTTATCCTGTGTTAAATATATATGTTTTTTCTACTCCCTTTGCATGTTCATCTCATTCTGGTTTCAGCTACCTCTAAAGCAGGAAAATTATCTCTCAATCCCTTTTGGTTCTTTCTAGTGATTTTTCATTAATCTGTCAGTATTGTTCAAACTGTAAATCACTACTTATGTATGTTGGTAGAATCAGTGTTGTCCCTTTTTTTTTTTTTTGAGTTGGAGTCTCTCTCTGTCACCCAGACTAGAGTGCAGTGGCCACTCCCGGCCACCGCAGCCTCGACCTGCTGGACTCTGGCGATCCTTCCACCTCAGCCTTCCAAGTAGCTGGAACTACAGGCGCACGCTACCACGCCTGGCTAATTTTTTGATTTATTGTACAAATGAGGTCTCACCAAGTTGCCTAGGCGAGTCTCGAACCCACGGGCTCAGGCAATCCACTCACCTTGGCCTCCCAAAACGTGAGATTACAGGCTGAGCGACCGAGCCCAGCCTTGTCCCTTTTTTTATCTCTACATTCTTCCCTTTATATTCTGTATCTAGTCATACTGAGCTTTTCACTTCCTTAAATGTGCCTAGTTCACCTTTAATCACTTCATTTGGAAAGAGCCACTGAACCCTGGAATCTGGGTTAATTGCCCCTCTTTTGTGCTCTTATGGCATTCTATATCTTCACTGCTTCAGTTACATTGCATTGTAATTGACAGAGTTTCTTGATTTTTGTCGCTTTTCAAAGAGCCAGAGAAATCTCTTAATCATTATTCAGTTGTCATTGTCCCTAACAGGGTCTTGAAACATATTAGATGCTCAAATAGTTCCTAAACAAATGAATAAATTGCTACTTCAATTGCTTTTTGCAGTTACTTTCAAAAAATTCCAACAGAAGCCCCACAACTGGAACTCAAGGCAAATTATGGTCTTGTAGAGCCTGTACCTTTTGAATTTCCTCCAATAAGTACTCATTGGACACCAGAAACATTGGCTGCATTTGATCTCACCAAGAGACCCAAGGATGACAGTGTATGAGACTGTTTTTTTTTCCTTCCATTCACAAAAGTTAAAAAGAAAATTCAGAGTTAACATTTTGGTACTTTTCTGTATTTACATGGATAACATAAGTTTGTCTAAATGTTAAGGTAGTTAATTTTAGTGCTTGGTATAGTCTGTCATAGAACACTCTCGGAGAGAAGACCTCTAGATTTTAAATATCTTCTGATTTTCTATATTATTGACTGATTTTTTAATACATTATCTTGCCTTTTTACAACTTGCCAGTGTCTCCTTTAAGAAACGTATGGGAGAAAAGATCATCCATATTTACATTGCTATAGCAATGCTCTGTTTTTGTTTTCGCATATTGCAGAGTATTTGAAGATTTGACCTAATTTCAGCACTCTGTGAATCCAGGGCTAAAATTAGAATGATTGTGTTTATATAAGTACATCTTGGTGTTCTAAATCAACTGGTAGATTAAGTAGAAATTTTGTAACAACCAAAAAACTAAAGATTTGTGACAAAGGGAATATTAATTCTTGTGCAGCCATAACTGCTTCTTTGAAATTGGGTCGTTTTTATATAATTTCCTTCCCATACTAAAACCATTATTCCTTAAAATAACCATCTTTATATACTCTATTCAGCTATAAAGTAATGCCCTAAGAGATAGCCTATTACCATTATAAGTTATTTCTAAACTTGTGTTCTACATGCATAGATTCATCACTCAGAAATAAGTGTAGAGCAGGTGTGTCATTAGCTTGATTTTTGCCTACCAAACTAGGTTTTCATCTTTACTGAAGTGTTTCTTTCCAGTTATGTCATAAAAGGAATCAATATATAGTTTCTGGAATAGCTTTGTCAGTATCGATGTTATGTAATTTGATATAGCATCTTTTAAAAGTCTGGGGTGAAAAAGATCTAGTGTTTGTTTTCTAAATCTTGTTGTGCTTACACCGTATTTTTCTTTCTCTCTAGACGAAACCCAAACCAGAAGAAGAAGTAAAACCTGTGAAAGAACCAGATATCAAACCGCAAAAGGACACTGGGTGCTATATCTCCTAAGAAAAATATTCCCAAAATACATATGTACTTAGAATCTCTCTATCAGTAGATAAGATAAATGATGGGATTTCAGTTCATATTTTTTGAAATAACTTCTCTGAAACCCATAGAATAAATACTACATTCAGAGGGAATCTGCCTTTATTTTATTTGGTCTTGATTTTTAATATAGAGGAGATGTTTTATGGTTTGTTTTCAGACTCTCCTTTTTAATCAGGACAACATTTGAAAGATTTTATTGTGTCTGTCAAGGGCATATTTGGGGATTGGGTCTTTTGTTGAACTCTGGATAGTAAAAAGTTTCAGGTTAACATACTATACACCTGAATTGTGATTTCAGGTATGATTTTTGTCTATCTTCACAAAAAAATGTATTTTCCTTTCTCTTATTTGATATCAGAAGAATGACAGGAGTAAGTTTTTAACAGAGACAGTGTTTCCTCTCACCATTGTTTTAATTAGAGCACAGACTTACGTTCCGAGTCAGTTTTCTTTTTTGGTGGAGAAAAAAGTCACAGTTAAAGATCAGAAAATCTTCATACTAAGTTCTTTACATTTACTAGAATCTGTAATTTACTTGAGAAATCAGTGTTTATAGGTATGTTGAGAACTTTATAAACTTATCCCTATTCTAGTAACTCTCTGCTTCGTTCATTCTTGGTAACCCTACAGTGATTTTTAGAAATACCTTTTCTAATGGGTTTTTTACTGAGAAGACAGAACTTTGTAGCAGCTCTTAATGTTTCTATGTAAGAGAAGACAGTAAAAATGGAAAATGTTTTTTGAAGAAGTCAGATATTGCATGATGTAAAGAAAACACTTTAAACTTAAATGAGAGGTTGTCCTGAATTACACTGGGTAACTCTACTTCTTTGTTAAAGAAGCTTTAGTGATATGCCTTTGTTACCTGATTTCAGTGTACATTGTTTTTGTATGGTTTCCTAATAGGTCTTGTCAGAACTGAATTGCTTTAGGCCAAGGGCTATAGCAAAATCATAGAGAACAAATGTAGATAACAGTATGATCTTAAGAAATAGATTGTAATATTTGAAACAATTAGTGTATATACAGACTTGGGAACTAGTGGATGCATAATACTTTAACAAAAGTCATACATCTGTATGTTTATCTTCTTTTGGTTATTCTCCTTGGACATCAGATAATCTTTCAATTATAAGTGACAGATTGATTCACTTAATAGAAATAATATAAATGGATTATGCTAAAAGCTTACTATGTGCCAAGTAGTGTGCTGGGCACTTATATACATAGACTATTGAATCTGCACAGCAACCCTGTGAGAAATAAAATCTGCCGAATAGGAATATACATTTCATTATGAGTAAGAAATATTATGCCTATCTGAATCATTATTGTGTTCAAATAAATTATTACTGAAATCATATAGTTTACACTCCTTAAAGTTACATAAAATCAATGATGTTTTTTAATATATGGAAATGTTAATTACTGCTTACAATATAGTTAATATTTGAAGCTGCAGTTCCCAGAATAAGTGGACTAATAACAACATTTTATTTTATTTTGATATCTACAAAGGAAAATACTTTATTAAATTACTGTGTGTTGTGCTGCTCTCATTACAAAATCACTCGTCTGTTTGCTATATGCCACTTACTGACAAGACTTTTACACGGTACTTGATGCCAGCTCTTTATGCCTATGGGACCTGTTTATCTTGGGTATTAATGCTTATTAACCTACTTAATAAATTTCCACATTGACTTTTTGGGGATTATACTACCACATGTGAAATGGAAACATAATGGCTCGGTGCTTTTGTAAAGTGCAGTAAATAGTGGTATTACTTTAACTCAATAGATAATCTGTTATCTCAGCATAAGATGGTAATTTGTGACAAAAGTATCCCATTAGATATATTTTTTTGAAATTGTGTTGGAAATTTGGGGAAATTATCAAATATAAAGAAGTTGCATGGATGTTATGGAGAGATGTGACTATTTGTGTTAACTTTTGCATTTCATACCAGGTAGTGGTAACTAACATTACTTCTGCTAAAAGTATTGTTTGTATAATGAGTTATCTTTTTATTTATGAAAATAAAAAATTTTGCTTACAATTTCATTGGGATTTTTGTTCTTTGATAAATATTTGTGTACTTGCTTAGCCAGAAACAGGGTTACTACAGTGCAAAAAAAACTTTAATTCTTCTCAGAAATGTAAAATGATAAATATATTTGCATCAGTTATTTTATGCTTCAGAAGTTAACTAAATATTCAGTATTACTTGACCTATCCGGTTTCTGCATATGTTTACTAGTACCTATCTCTTAATCTCAAAGAAGAGTTTCAATTGCACTGTTTATGTCTGATGCATAATTACCTGGCATGATACAGTATGTGTGTACTGTGGTAAGCTAGGCTAGAGAGCTTGTCGTTATTGCTGAAGAATAATCTAGAAAATTTTGTATGTTGTATACTGAGGTGACATTTTCAATGCTATGTAAGTGTACACAAAAATAAAAACATATTCAGAAATATTTGTTTTACAAAGTAACATGCTTTAGAAAATACTGCATTTTTTAACCTCAACATGTATGAAATAAATTTGGAATGTCGCTTTGGTTTATCATAACTTTGTGTCTAAAGATTTTTTTTTACTTGACACTTGAGAAATTTGCTTAAAATTTAAATTTTTATTTTAAACTTTTACAGTCAACCTAAAGTATTATCAAATAGTTAATCTGGAAAAAAAGTTTATGAATTATAAAACAAAACTATATTTGTGCTTATCCAAAAGACCGGGGTTGAGTTAAGCAGTGCAATATATCTAATGCCTGTGGTGTACTTGAGGTGAGTGAAAGCTTGCACCACCACTCTCAGACTGCTCCCCTGAGAAAATGTCATGACTTGAATTTTGCTTCTCTAATGCAGAGCTTCTCAAGTAGTTTGCCTCAAGCATTGACTGAAGCCTTCTGGGTGGCCAACTGGGCAAGACATAATGTGGCTGGAGCTCCCAGGCTGGTCACCTCTAGAATTTTAAACTAATAGTTTTCTACATCTTCTGCGGTGATATTTTTTTTAAATAAGGCTGGGCTTTGGGAGGCCGAGGCAAATGGATTGCTTGAGCCCGCGGATTTGAGACCCGCCTGGGCAACTTGGTGAGACCTCATCTCTACAGTAAATCAAAAATCAGCCAGGTGTGGTAGCGCGTGCCTGTAGTTCCAGCTACTTGGAAGGATTGCCAGAGCCCAGCAGGCCGAGGTTGTGGTGGCCGGGAGTGTGCCACTGTGCTTCAGTCTGGGCAACGCAGTGAGACACCAACTCACAACAAAAACAAAAACCCAATGGGACAGACATGTAGGTAATTGGGTGCATGAATATGGTTTACTGAAAATAGAAATATAAGAATCCTGCCAGCTGTTTTTCTATCAGTAACTCTCAAGAAGCAATAGTGGTTGGTTTGTACATATTTTTTTAATTCATATTTCACACTCCCTCACTCTGCCCTACCACTGCCTACACACACACACTAGAGCAGGTCACTGGAGTGGACCATTTTCCAGGTGAGGTGGCCTAGAGAAATGGTAGGGAATATTGCTCTATGAAGCTCTATCAGAGGTGAGGAGTGAGGCTTTGAGGGTGTCATCTCTGCTCTTACCAGAGGTTTGACTTTTAGACCACCTTAGGAAAAAGGAAAGGTGGAAGCCGGAAGGGGAACCAGCAGCCACCAAAGCAGGTCATGCCAATTAGCTCTTGGGGAATTACCCAGTGTTGGTTCTTCGCTGCATTTTAACCCGGTCCATTTGAAAACATTTTCTAGATAAGTGAAAACTGAAATAACTCTAGGAATGTCTGGATATTATAGGCCTTATTTAAGTTAAATGCCAAAATGTACTGAGAACTCTTTCTTGATAGAGATTACAATACTGTGTTTCAGTGGAGTTGTTTAAAATGAAGTGGTTAGTATAAAGATGTCATGAGAAAAATATTAAAGGATAGTCATTTTAGGAAGAAAAACAAGCAGGAAGTAAAGACAGTTGAAAGTCTGTTCTTATTTTACCAATGTTATCTTGAACCTCCCCACTCATTAAATGTATGATTCATTTATTAAACAAATACTGAGTTCCAGCTATATGCGAGGCATTGTAGGGGCAGGAGATAAAGCAGTAAAAATACAGGTGAAAACTCCTCCCACTCTGCAGAGGGGTAGGACAAGAAGGAAAAGGAAAAGGGAGATACATGACATATGGAACTTGTTCAATGTTGACATCAGAGAAAAATGGAACAGGAGGTAAGATGTTGAATAGGGGTGGAGCGTGGTGAAGAGAATGGGAAGTTGCCTTGAAAGAGGTGCTCACAATAGGCTCTCTTTGAGACAAAGACCTGAAGTAAGCAAGGGACCAAAGTATAAGGGAAGAAAAGAGTGGAGAGCAGCCAGCACAAAGGTCCCTCCAGAGAGAGAGTGCCTGTGCTGACAGGGAACTTTGGTGAGAAGGCCAGTGTGGCCAGAGTGATATCAGTGAGGGGGAGTATCCAAGATGGGATCAGAAAAGTCATGGGAGTTAGATGTACAGGCTTGTAGGCCACTGTGAGGACTTTTCTTTTTTTTTAACTGTAGATGAGATGGGAGCCCACTGGAGAGTTTTAAGTAGAGGAGTGACATGATCTGAATTAGGATTTAACAATTCTGACTCCTTTTTTGGGTGTAGACTGTAGGGAGCCAATTAGGAGTCTGCTGCAGTAATCTTGGTGAGAGATGATGACTTAGATCACGGTGGTGGCAGTGGAATGGTGAGATGTATTAAGATTCCAGAAATATCTAAGAGAATTTCCCAATGTATTTAATGTGAGGTGTATTTAAAGAAGAAGAATCAAGAATGACTCTAATGTTTTTGGCCTGAGCAACTGGAAGAATAGAATTGCTATTTATTGAGATGAGAAGACTGCCAGAGAACTAGAGGTAAGTGTATATGCGAGGAGGGTTGCAAGTGGAGGGGTTTGCACTGAAAGCATGAGTAAAGATCTAGGCAAATTAGGATGAGTTGTCTACTAGGCACCCAAGAAAATATGTCAATATGACTTGGAGAATATAATGCCAGAGTCATCTGTGTATGGAGAGTATTTAAAGCCATGGGGCCCATAGAAGAACATCAAGAACGCAGATAGAAAAGAGAAGAGGTCCAATCATTGAACCCTGGGTACTACAATACTGAAAGATCAGAGAGATTATACAGTCTAATTACATTATATACTTAGAAACTATCCTTGATAACCTAGATTTGGGGCTTTTAAAGAAACAAAGGGTAGAGGAGGTACCCGTAAAAATTACACTGAGTTAAAAAGCCTGATACAGGGAGTATTTGGTCCTCTGAAAGTTAACTTACAAAACAGCCACGTTTAGGCACTTAGTGTGAAGTTGGCAATGTTCCCAAGGTTTTTGTAAATAAAAACAAGTAGATTCCAAGCTGTCCACTATTGAGCCCCTGTATGTGGCAGGCACTATGATTACAAAGATGAATTTTGCATAGCATATTCTAAAATGCCCATTAGGTGGCAGAAAAGCATTCAGTAAATCAATTTTGAGCTAATTCGTACATTAGTTCCATCTCTGTCTCTCCCTTCCTCCCTCTCTCCACATGCCTCTCAACCTTTGCAAGAACCCTCTGAATTAAAAGATATATATGTCTATGTAATATACAACCTCATAATTACGAAGACCAGAGACTAGCATTTTCTTCAGAGCACCAACAGATGTCCTTAGTCTATAATATAATAGACTGGTATGTGAGGGTCAAGGATGTTCCATTTGGTTTGGAAATGTATGAATTTAGATGGTCCTGAGTAAATTGACTATAATGAGATTATTAGTCCTTATTTTTAAAACTTTTGATTTTAAAACTTTTTAGCTTGGGATAGGGTGAAGGAGGACTCAGAAAGTAGAGAGCAAGAAATCCTCTTGGGAAAAAAAAGTAGACAAGGTGTCTTGGAACTAGCCTGATGTTTGAGCTTTCTGCAATACACAAATCACAAGTTACAAGTCTCTTTCTGTTTGAATTTTGAAGTTACTACTTTTCTTGCTCTCCTTAGGGTACTGTTCCCCAAACTTGCCTGCATATTGGGGCCACCTGGAAGCTTCAAAAGATTCTGATGTATGTGTCTCACCCAAAGAGATTGTGATTAAGTGATCTGGGTGTGTGTGGCATGTCTTGGGAACTTTTTAAAAGATCCATAGATGATTCAAATATAAAGACAAGTTTGAGAACAACTGGGTTTAATGTTGCATGTGTAAATACAGCAGACCTTCCCTCTACTCAAACATGCTCCACCCTGTAAGACACACATAAGAGAACGCTTCCACGTCAGCATATTTAAGGGCTCTGTATGGTCTCAGCCTACAGGACCCTCGAAACTTTTATTTATCATGTATCAAACAACTTCTAGCACCAAATTTTATACCAATGTCAACACCAAATACAGCAAATTAAAGTAATAAAAAAATAGAAGAATTGTAAGTTGCTTTTTAAAAGTGTTTTTATTTTTTTAAATTGTTGTAGAATGTATTTTACTTCTTATGGTACTGATAATATTACTTTTACAGTAGTATTATGCATAGCATATTGTTGGTCTTAAATACCAAATTAAAATGGGTATTTTCTGCTGCTCTTTGGCATCAGAAATGAAGTCATAGCACTTCTTCCTATTTTTTGCCAAGGCAAACACTGGCACTAAGTTAGGGAAAACCAGGTGTATCATTCACAGGTCCCCAAATGTGACAAATGTCATCTTGTGAATGACAACTTTAGCTGTTGACAGGCCTTTGACAATGGCATAAATTCACCAACTCCAGCCCTAGACAATGGCATAATCTCAGCATGTGTGTGTATTCATTTGTGCTTGAATAGCTCATAAAATATTTTAAAAATCCAATCTGCTAGTCTTCATTCTAATAGATAGCTGATAATCCATTTACATTTATTATAATTACTGACTTATTTGGAATTTCTGTTACTATTTTATTTAGTGTTTCTACTAATCATGCTTTTTCTTTCTCTCTCTTGCCTTCTGTCAGATTATTTCTTTTTTTTTTCCTACTGATTTTGAAGCTATATGAGAGGAGATCCCAAAAAACAAGGAATTATCTTTTGGAGAGTGAGGCCCTTGTAACACAGGCTTCCCCTGCTGGTGTTCTAGGACCCCATTGGCATCAGCATACCAGTTAGCTGTGTTGTGAGAGGTTGCGTTCATTCAGCTTCAGTGAATATATATGTTGGAGATTCTTTCAATGTCTTTGCCCCTTTCATGATAGGTGATTTAGGAGTGCACCTGTCCACTCCATACTGAGTGTTCTGCAGTTTTTGACCCAAAACGCCATGACTCCTGGACTCCACCCTCCCTACTCAACCAATCTCACCCCAAGTGATATTTTTTATTTGTTTCCCCGATGAGAAAAGTCCTCAAAGGAAAATGTTTTGCTGATGTGGAAGAGATGAAACATAAAATGGAGAAGCACTAAAAGGCATCAAAATTGAAGTGTTCAAAAACTGTTTTGAGGAGTAGAAAAAGTGTCTTGATAAATGTATTGCATTAAAAAGAGAGTACTTTGAAAATGACTGAAGTTGAAACATGAAAGAA